CACCCTTCGTCGCACGCATTCAACGCAGACCCGATGTGCATGCTGTGGAGCTGAACGCGCCAGAACGTCCAGTACCCGTACTGCGGGATCACGTTCATCGTTTGCCACACCTGACCTTCCATTCGGGCCGCGTCAAATCCGCCAAAGATCACTTCCGACCCGTTCGTGTTTGGATCTGGCGTCAAGTAGAAGGAAAACCGCGGTGCCAGGTCTGGATTCTGATGCACCAGCAGCATGAATGGAGGAGGGTGTGAAAACGTCGCGAGTCCATCGAAGGCCAGACCCATCAACCCGTCAGGCTTCATGTTGCTCAGCGAATCTTCCTCCTCTTCAACTACGCCCAGCGGCACCCCCGTCGCGTTGTACCCAGAGACCGCGATTGTGTCGATGCCGCTCATACCGTGCGCTTGCCCACTGCCATACGCGATCGTAAAGTTGGGATTCGACGACAGACGAAATGTGGACGACGAGGATAGAGTAAAGCGATGGGAGCCGGCACAATGGACGCACGCGCTGCCTGGCACCCACAGATCGCTGCTGCCTGTGTCGAACGTCACCACAAGTTGCTGCGGCGGTGTTCCAACTGTCATATCGCCATAGAATTGAAACTCGACGAAGTTGGTCAGGGGGACGTGCCCTCGAGCAGCCAGATCAACCTCGTCCAGGATCTGGGATGGATCCGCGAGCGAAGGCCGTGCTGTGTTTGAAGGTCTGGGTTGTCGGCGCAGTGGGATGCGCACAAGGGTATCTGCTACCACGGAGAAGTGAACAAGGGTCGCCAAGACAAGCACGATGACGGCGGCACCCGTCATTCTCTCCAGCGGCGGCAGCGGCGGTAGGGGATAGAAAAACTGATGTTGAATGGAATGGGCGCTCAACTTTAACGCTTCGTTAAACGTATTCTGATGGGGTTAAATTGAATTAAAACCACTTTTCACACTAAAAACGTACGCGTTCATGGAACGTTGAGGTTGGCGGCAGTGGTCTAATTCGATTCGACTTTTGACAACTTCCTTTGACAACCAAACCAAGTGTGCAACTACATAACTCGTCGCGTGCACCCGTGGGCGGCGAGTAGCAAACTGCAGGACGTTGTTGCGTGCAAAGGTCAGATACTAGACCTCACCGTCCATCGTAATATGTCTTGTATCTGGCAATTCAACACAGGTTCGTAGCAGCCGAATATCGCCTTTTTCAAGTTGATTCAATCTCAAAATTTTGCATGAAGAAGAGCAACCTTCGTCAATATGAATCCCATTGGATGAAATCATCCAGTAATATCAAAGAGCCCATTATCGGCGGATTCAGTAGCCAATCACAAGTGTTAGACATAAAACGCACTCCAGGTTTTTCCTACCCTTGACTATATGCGCTTCGCAAATACAGCGTACATGCGCGCTAGCACGAAGGTTGCGCCGTAGGACGAATGCTGCATGAGCTCCACCCGGCCGAGCACAAGAACTCACGAGTAGAGCCATCAGCCCGTATGGTAATTAGCATGTCGCCTTCCACGCATGCGTTGGCTCCGATACGGCGCGATTATTCAAGAGTCTAAATACAAGCTCACACCACGAGAAATATCAAACATTGCTCGCGATGTCGGGGTACATCAGGTCGCAACAGCCTTCGCGGCGGGCGGTGCGGCCCATAGTCAGACGGCTTCGTTCACTTAACGACGAGCTAATGCGACTGTATAGAACAGTTTGACCGAGTACTAGTGCCCAGGTCTGCAGTTGGGTTTGCAGAGATTCGTGGAACTTGGAGCCATTCACTAGTCTGTGCGCACGGACGGCGAGTTGCTGGAGCATGGGGTGGAAAAACGGCGCATTCCTGGATCTACACGGGTATGAGCAAAGCTGGAAGCAGCATCTGCGCAAAGGTTTGGACTTCGCTCCATGGCCAGGTTCAAGCGGAATAGCGTAAACAACGGAAAATTCAAATAGGAAGCGCAGTTATCTCTGCTCCGAGTAGACGGGGCCATGGATGAGGTCGCCGTCGGCGGATGGCGTGGCAAAGTTAGCATCGTCGTTTGGCACGGCGGGCACCCCAATCGGCTCAAGAACAGGCCGGATTCCAATGTCGACAGCGACGCTGCCGAGGGCTTTCGTCTTCTTCTCCATCCCGTCGTCCTCTTCATCGAGCGTAAAGTCAAAATCGTCCACGCTGTACTTATTGCGCTCCGTCATCATGGCCATATCGACAGTCTGGTCAATCCGTACGTCGATGTCGCCGGCCAAGAGCGCGAGGAGCTGCTCGTAGTTGACCATGGCGCCCTTCGTCTTGAACACGAGGCGGATCATGGCGTTGAACTTGAACACAGACACGTGGAACCCGTAATGCGCCAGCACGACGCGGAACGTCTCGATGTCGATAAAGTCCTTCGTCCCGCCGTTCTTCTCGAGGTCATCGCGCAGGTCGTCGACGGTTTGGTCCTTCCTGTCCAGAAACGCCTGGATGCTCTCGACCATGTGCGTCTTGATCTCGATCGTGCTCAAGTACTGCCCGACCATGACGGACACGTTGTCTGGGTTGAGCTGCCACAACGTCGACAGCGTCATGAACCGGAGCATGAGGCGCGGCCCGAGGTAGAACGCATTCAAAAGCAGCGGCGACGCAATCAAGACGAGCAGGACCGTGTAGTCCATATCTGGCACGTCCGGCAGGATATACACGACCGAGTTCATCGCGATCGCAGCAAACAGCCCGTTCAGCATCAAGAAAGTCTTCAAAAAGTAGTGCAGGAGCTTCCGGGAAAACCAAGGAAGCTGGATCGGCGTCAGCTCGGACAACGTCTTGACCGAGGCATGAGGGTGGTGGCCGTCATGGCCACCGTCCCCACCGGGTCCACCATGGTCTCCATGTCGTCCACCGTTGGTTCCATGACGGTGCCGTGGGGACACGAGGGGTTCTTCGCCGCCATGGCCGCCGCCATGCGCGAGATGAACATCTTGTGGGGACTTTGTCTTTCGGGGAAAGCACTTGCGAAAGACTAAACCGAGGATCTGCACTCCCTGGTCTGCTGCCAGGAAGAACTGGTGGCCGTGAGCATGCATGTCCATGTTGTAGTGCAGACGCTGGAGTTGCGCAATCGAATCCTCCTGGCTTTCACGCGTGTGGCGCTCTTCCTCGGCGCACTCGCGCATCTTGGGCAGAACTTCCTTGTTCTTGTAGATGCCAAGGTACTTGTAGATCGTGTTCATGCACTTGTTGATGTACAGCCACATGAGAAGCATGACGATCGACAAGAGGGACTCGAACGCCATAAAGACGTACACGCGGACGTACTTCGGCTGCTCGTCGTCGTCGTACGTGACAAGGTTCTGCTCGATGCTGCTGTGGGCCGCAATGAACCCGCACCACACGAGGAGCAGGAGCATCCACTGCGTCAGTTCAATATCGATCAAGTGCTGAATCTGCGAATCTTGCTGCATGCGCAAGTACCACGAAAACTGAAACATCTCGGGGAGGTTGTACGTCTTGAGGAAGAACCGTCTCAAGATCTTGTGCCGCATCACGCGCAGCGCACGGGTCTTCTTGGCCTCGTACTGGAACCAGTTGGCGTAGTTGTCCTTGTTCAATGCGGCCTTGGCCTTTTGGTACACGTAATGCGACGACACGAGCTCAATCTGGTCCGTCATGATGTTCTTCTGCCGCATCACGTAAAAGATCAAGAGTGCTTGTAAGATGAGGAAGCACGCCACGAAGAAGATCGTTTGGTCTGCAATCTTGAACGCTTTCACTGGTTTCGAGTAAAAGTCGATCCAGTACGCTTCCGAGAACAAGTGGACGAACAACCCGAGCATGCCAAGAATCATGAGCTCACTCGTGATCTTGTGCATCATTTCGTGGTACTTGGGGTACGGATGGAGCTTGTGGCCGAGCCAGTGCCACACCTGCTCGAACAGAATCACCCCCAGCACCACGAGGAACATCAGGAGCATCACGAGCCATTCCGAGATGTTGTCCCCCACACGGAAGAGCGAGTTCTTCTCGGTCCATCCCCCGGCCAGATGCCGGAGCGCGCCATCGACGGCTGCCATGATGCAAAGTGGTCTAGTGTTCGTCCCACGGCCTTGTCGCCAAGTCGTTGTCGCATTGTGATGCGTCCGCCAATCGGAATTACTACTGTTTTCTCCACCTGGAAAAACGCACCAGTTTCGAAGCGGCACGGTCGATTTTTATCCAATCAAAATCACATATGAACGCACCAGCCAATGAAATGATGGCGCTGAGCACAAGGAAATTCGCAAGGAGTTGGACATGTGCACGATAAAGCGGTCCTGGCTTGACTTGATGCCCCACGCTGGTTTACCGCGATACAGGGCATACGACATGCAACAGGAGATGGATTTGGCTTTCGGTCGAGGTACCGCCTCGGGATTGCGCTTCTTGACAGTTTCGAATATGCCAGGAATATAAAGAAGGTGCGCATATTTATCCGAAAACTCCCGAATTTTGCAATATCCGGAATGACCTTTTCGTCAACGACGACAATTGACGACGTGGTATGACAGCAGCGTTAGTGGTCTTGGCTCAAGCCGTAGTGCTTGAGGAGCGCATCCACGCGCTGAGGACGGCCTCGGAATCGCTCAAAGACAGTTAAAGGATGCTCACTGCCTCCCAACGCCAGCACCGTGTCTCGAAAGAGCCGACCAGTGGCCCGCAACGCTGCATCGTTGTCGAGTCCGGCTTCGACAAACTTCTCGAACGCGTCGCAACTGAGCACTTCAGCCCACTTGTAGCTACATCCCGCCGTCAGGCACTTCCTATCGATTCGTCCACGTACCTGTAGTAGCCCGCTGCATACCCTCCCGCGAAAATGTGCGAGAACGAGCACAAGAATCGATCGTCTTCCAGGGGCGGCAGCACAGAGTATCTGCAGATGAGTGCATCAAGTGTTGCGATCAACCGAGGTGGCGACCCACCGTTGCGCCAGTCGCTGTTGCACATCAAAGACCGATTCGTTCGTTGCGTGGGGGTCGTAGTGGTGGTGGAGATACAAGTCGAGCGCTCCGAAGTTGAGCTGGCGCAGCATGCCAGACGCCGCCATGTACGTTCGCGCGTCCTTGATCTTGTTGTATAGTTCCTCCGGCAATGGAGCATTCGTTTCATAGTGGCCACTGATGGACAGCAACGTCTCTACACTCCAAAACGTGGAGCACTCGATCGCAACGCCGAGATCAGGGTCTACCTTTGTGGTAGCAAAAGTTCTCCATGAACTGGGATGGCAGCTCGACGGCATCCCACTCGACTCCGTTGATGCCTGCGGCAGATCCGTACTCGACGGTCGTCAGCATGTGCTGCAAGCCATGGCCAAACTCGTGGAAGAGCGTCTCAACCTCGCGGAACGTCATTAAACTCGGGGTTTCGCCCACCTACAGCGCCACAATGGTCCCTCCTGTTACGCGCCACGTCAAGTTCCAGAGCAACCCACCGGCGGAGACTGGTTGCAAATGAGGTATGCCACCGGCAGCCGGGGAGTCGTGGGGGTCGGTCCCAACAGCCGGCTGCGGTTCACGCACGTGTTCATCCAAGCGCCGCCATTCTTTTCGCTAGGCCGAGCATACGGGTCCAGAAAGAACGACGCAACGACGCTCCCGTGCTCTTTGATGTGGAAGAACTGCACGTCCGAGTGCCACGTGTCTGCTTCACCATTGGCGGCCTGATGCTCTTGTCAGCCAGTCAAATTCAAGATGTACAGACATACTTCAACCGTGACCCCAAAGAGGCGCTCCGTGAGCTGGAAGAGCCCGTGGAGGACCTTGGGCAGCGGGAAGTAAGGCTTAACGGCTTCGTCGTCCAGGTCAAAGAGCGCTGCACGACGCTTCTCCGCCCTGTAAACCACGGATGACTCCTTTGAGACAACGACACAGTCGCGTACCAGAAGGCAACGTCCCAGTGCCTGAGCCCGTCGGGACTGTCGTGGCCGTGCTGCTTGGCGTACTCGGTGAGCTCGCGAAACTCTTTTTGCGCAATGCCGAAACACTTGTCCCGCAACGACTCGATCATTTCTTCGACAGCCGCTACGCTGGGCGCCATCTTGGACGCCAAACTCAGTTCCGCATACGAGTTGAACCCGAGCATCTTCGCTCGCTCTTGTCGCAATTGCAGCGTCTCCCGGACAATGTCGACGTTGTCGAAAGGGGCGACGCCGGCCTTGGCCACATTTGCTCGATACAACTCCTTACGAAGTTGGCGGTTCGTCGCGTACTTTAGCACCGGCAAGAGGCATGGCATGTCCAGCGAAAGCTTCCACGGGCCTGTGTCCGCTGTCGAATCGGGGTAGCCGTCCGCAGCGGCGTTCTACCAAGTCGATGAACGATCGAAGACGGAGATTTGTGGACAGACTTGAGCCAAAAGCTGGAGAACCGACGGCGGCAACCCGTCCAAGTCTTGCTTGTTGGTGACAATTCTAGAAAACGCCTTGGTCGCGTCGAGCACGTTGTTGGAGAACTTGGTTTTCTACAGCAGCCGTCGCGTCGAGTTGACCGGCGAGAGACAGCCTTACGAGTTCGGCGGAGCGAAGTTGGATCGAGTTGAAGCGGTCCTTGGCGGCACCTGTGAGGCCCACACCACTGAGGGTCGCGCTGCGAATGGACGCTTCTAGGATGCGCTGCGACGATGTGAGGTCGACGGGCGACAACGAATCGACAAGCGCGTACCTGCTGCGCCTGGTCGAACGAGTTCCATGTCGCCGCATCATTTTTCAACGCGTTATACGCGTGAAAAATGTCTTCGCTTTGTGCGAACCGCGTAAAGATTGTCACGACTTCGGCCTGCAATTCAGCATGCGCCGCGCGGAGTTCAGGAGTGTTCTTGACACTCGTGAGATGTCCGATGATTCCCCACAGTCGCTCCAATGGGTCAGCGCTCACTTCCAGCTTGTCCATGACGTTTTCCCAGCTCAACGTGCAGGTCGTATCACGCAACGATGCTTCCACAGCTTGGATATCACGATCCAAGTGCTGGATGGCTTGGCGTACGGCTGGCACCATTTCATCCGCTCGAAGTTTGTTAAAAGGCGGAAGAGTGCGTTCAGCTACGCACTGAAGAATGGCGTTGGTGCTTTGCAGGCGGCAGGGCCAGGAGCGAGCCCCCAGGCGCCGCTGCACTACACGGCGGAGATGGAGCATTTTCGCGACGTTGTTCGTGGATGGTCGACTGGCAATGGTATCCGGATTCCGGATGAACGACAGGAGGTTAGGCGCATGCTGACGGAGAGTTGCGGAGGCCCAGACGACGTGGGGTGCCGTTGGTGTGGATGCGTGCGGGAGCTGTGGGAAGCGCATGGCACGGTGACTCGGCGGATGCAGATATGACGATCTTGTGCAGGTGGTAGGTCCGATGGACTCCTTTTGGTAACACGCACCCTGCTCTGTTTGCGGCGGCAATGGGTTCGTCGACCAAAGCCACGAGCACGCACGATGAGGGGGACACATCGTGCCTTGCATGCGCTAGCTTGTAGGTGGTTAGTTCCATGATGAGACTGGGAGCAGCCACATGTATGTGGGGCTTCAGACGAAAAGAGCTTGTCTTTAATGACCGTATTGAGGAATGGTGCATTCGATACATGCTATACATGCTATCGCTCGTTGGCTTAAACCACATGCGCGGCGTTCCCCTTAGGCCATATAACGTGCGTACGTTACGGAGCGCATGATATCACTCAAAGTCATCATCGTCATAGGTCGTGGCGTCCGTAGTTTTCTTCGACGGCCGCACGAGACTGGCAATAACACGAGATTCCTTGTCGCCATCAGCGTAATGGATATCGACCGTCCCATCGCTATGCACTCGGGCGATCTTGCCTGGAAAGTACTTGTCCTGTCCGCCAAAACGAGCCTCGACGGCGTCGCCCGCTTCAAACTGCACATATCAATACCACCATCGATCGATCTGTACAAGGTCGTACCGACGGCTGCGTCTTCGCTTTGGACGCGGACACGCGCACGTATCGCGACGGCACTCTGGTTTCTCGGTCTCCATCGGCATACTCAATGTCGACTGACCCGTCGCCATGGACTCGCGCGATCGTGCCAGGGTAAAATTTGTCGTTTCCGCCAAACCTTGCTTCCACCGCTTGGCCACGTGCGACCTACCCACAGCGCATCGCATGTCAGAGCGCAGCAGTCATAGAGATGGTTGGCCATACAGCTTCGAGGGATACAAAGCGGATGCTGTCGGCACTCACTTCCTTCTCAACGTCGCCGTCGTCGTAGGTTATGTCGTACGTGCCGCCGCCGCGGCATTTCGCTATTTGGCCGCGAAAGTACGCGCCATGGGCCTTGCCACCGAAGCGCGCCTCGACCACATCCAGGACTTGAAATGGGACCTTGCTGCGGTCGTCGTCTTGGTCAAATTCGTCGTCGTACGAGTCGTCGTCCTTGGCATGAATTGCGTGCTTCTGTAGCATTCAAAAGCCACGACGAAGTGAATGGCTCCAACACAGAGCTCAACGCGAGGAGTCTGCTCGCACCTCATGTTTGTGCGTTGGCGACGTGCCATTTTTCAGGGCCTTTGAGTACGGTCGAATCCACTTGCGGGGAACTTTGTCCTCCTCGGCGCCGTTTTTGAACTTGATGTCGAACGTGTCGTTGGTACGGCACCGCACGATTTCTCCGCGGTAATACGTCGCGCTGTCCCCGCCCCGAGCTTCCACTTGCATGCCTTCTTTCCACGCCTACCAGCGACGACTCCATCGTCTCGTCGAGTGCTCTTTCCAAGTGCTTTGTACCTCCTGTTTGCCACCGGCGACGCGACTCATGTGTTTTTGAGCCACGTGCTTCTCCACCTCGCCGTCGCTGTACACGACGTCGTACTCGTCGTTGTCGCGCACGCGCTTCACTCGTCCGCGGCGAATGGCCTTTGTTCCTTTGTACAACACCTAAATTCAACCATGGCCAGATTGAGCAGCGTCGACCTGGCACGACAGAAAAATATCGATGATACTTGAACATGCGCATCGACTTGAAACGGATCCATCTTGACGCGGAAGGCAGCCAGGGGCGCGGGCCGGAACCGCCGCAAACTCGCCATCGCCACGTTGTGCCTCTTGATGCCGGAATCGAAGTGGACCGTACACACTTGATACGCACCACTCATTCGGATGATCGTGCCTGGGCCCATGCTGCGCGTCTTGTCGACCACTCGATCCCCCACTTGAAATCTTCCGAATGGGCTACAATGCACAGTTGGTGTGTGTGTATTCCAAGGCCAGCCATCGTTGCGACGGCAGTCGTACGCTGGTTTGGTTGGACTGCAGCTGTTGCTTCGACTGCTTTCGCTATCGTCGTCCTTCGCCTCGTCGCGACGTACCGCCTGCCGCCGTCGCCGGCGTTTGGACACCCATGTCTGCATCTCTTGCATCCATTCCCGCTGGCTCATCAAGGAGCTGTCGTCGTCGTTCTCCACCTTGCGCTCCTCACGGGCAAAATCTTGCTGCGTGTACGGAATGCCAAATTGCCCTTCGAGCAACGCCTAGCCGTGTGTGCTATCAGCCTCGACGCATTCTCTTGGCTAGCCACCTTGATTGCGTTCATTCTGGACGTGTGCGCTGCCACGGACCCTACATCACATTACGATCGCGTTGTTTGCAACGATGGGATGACCTTTGTTTCGTGGGATGGGGGTCGGTTTGGCATGTTGGAGCTTGCGGTATGCTCGGACAAGGTCTTCATATTCGATCTCGCGCTTTGTACCAAAACCTTGCGACGTGAAGTATTGGAGCATCTACCGGCAACGCGCCTGAATAAACATGGACTTGTAGGAGATCATTGCGCACTTGAGCTCTGGGGACAACGACGCCGAGTTCCGTGATGGCCTGCATGGCTTCCAGTGTCGTCAGGCTGGACTCGTGAAACCGGTGAAACATCTTGTGGACAGCGGCAAACTGGAATTGCGATGACTTTAGATGAACGTCAAAGGGATTCAAGTACCTCGTCGTCTTTCTCGTCGCCTTCGTCGTGCTTGCCATCGTCGTCATCGTCCGAGTCGTTGGATTTCGTCTCGTCATCGTGGTTCCCGCGACGCTGTTTCGGTCGCGATGCCGCTGCTCGAACGGTTGACGATCTACCGCGTGTCCAGGTCAGTCAGGGATGGCTACGTATTTGACAAGCGCACGATGGCCTTGTGCACAAGCGAACGTGGCCCGATTGTTGGAGCTGGACAATGCGATGACGATGCCGTTCTTCGTCACTCTCCACCTACGACCTGCGTTCCAAGACGCTCCTTGGCTGGCGGGCTAACCACGTACCGGCGCTGGCGCCTGGACAAACAAAAAATACGCCAAGCAAAAGTCAGCAAACGAGAGCTGCTCGGACGGCGAGTTGTCTAGACGCGCGTCCGTCCACTTGTCCAGCTTGGGTCGATCGTACAGCACTTGAAGCGATCGAAACATTTGAGGCAAGGCCACCACGTTGACGTGGTCGCCACCACCGGTGATCGCGTCGAAGCACGACTGCAGGGGTGCCAAACTAAACTGGAGCTCGGCATATCGGACAAGGAATTCGGAAAAGCTGAGCGAGTTGGACCCGTCTGCATCAACTTGGTCAAACCACTTGGCCGCCTTGTGTCCATGGTGCGAGGGAGTTAGCCCACGGGATGCAAGCTTTGTACTCGAATCACCTCGTCGTCCGCATTAGCTTGACCAAGAGCAGACAGTGCTTGCGCGACTTCCGCCTTGTCCAACGTCCCGTTTCCGTTGGTGTCCATCCGATCAAATGCCGCTCGGACACTCTTGAGGTCCACTTTTGGAACAGGCAGCGTCCGTGTGTTGGCTGTCCACGCATGGCAAAACGCCAACGCAAACTCAGGAAACGACACCGTCGTGCTGTTGCTTCGGCTCTGAATCCACGTCTCGACCTACATGCAACGCCGTCCCGGTTTGGCGCTTGGCCAAGTCATGAAGATGGAAGCACGCACCGCGGACGCAGACGAGTCGTAGTGCATTGCCGCTAACGCTTGCTTGATCTCGGAAAAATCCAACACGCCATTGCGGTTGGTGTCAACTTGGTCAAATGCCTCCTTGAGCTTTACGACGACCTGCAATCCAGTCATGACGACGTCAACCGTCCACTAGAAGAGCGCGGGGCCACGTACCTCGATCCGATCTTTGTCCAGGACTGCCAAGTAATCCTTTAGCTGTCCGTACTCGACGCCGCCATGGACGCCATCTACGTGGGGGTGATAGAGTGAACGGATCGAAGGGTTGGCCCGGTGAGGGCTTGTACCTTGGTCTCGCAGTCGATGGAGGCAAAGCGCCATGCGTTTTCGATGCAGCGGGTGCTGCACGTGCAATAAATACTGCAAGTCACTCTCTTCCAAGTACGACAGAGTTGCTCCATCGACTTGGTGGGCGTCAAACGTTGTGGCATACTCGGGCAGGCCGACCTAGAATCACGTGGCGGTCATCAAGCAACGGGGTATACTTCTTACGTCTTCGACGAGCCAGTCGATTGCATGAGCGACGGTCCAGTCCTTGGTGTGAAGCAAATGTCGCGGTTTGAGCACCTCCTTTTGCCTGACTCGATGGGTCACGCTCGCCGTCGCTGCGCCAGGAAGAGCACTGACATGGCCTCTTGGAAACAAGGCGTACGCTGTCGTTTGGTCAAATTCCATCGTGGCACGGATCAAGTAGAGCGGAAAGTCCCCAAACTGACTGAGGAACTCCCGACAGGACCCACACGGATACGGCGTGAAAAGCCCATCCGATGAGCTGATGGCGGCTCCCTACCCCCTCGTCAACTCGGTCATTCGGGACAACTCGACGTACCTCCACAACGAAGTCTGACTCGTCCGATGCTAACTTCATGAACGCCAAGCGCTCCGGACACGTGTCCAAACACAGATCGTTGGACGATGATGTGTACACTCGTCCGCTTGAACTCAACACCGCGACGCCAATTGTCACGCCTTGATCGTTGGCCGCGCGACACGATTGCTGCACGGACGTTGCCGTGTCGATGATTTGCTGCAGCTTGGTCATGCCCGTCTTCCCGTACGCTTCCAGGCCTTGGTAATGTTGCGAGTACCTGCGTTTTGCGCTCAAAGCTCACCATACAATCCAGAACGGGGGATGACCGAATGGTACCGTTGAATGTGCTGGCGTATGGATGGGTCGTCGTCATCGGTGTCATTGTCTTCGTTGTGGTTTGTGGCCAACAACTTCGAGTGAAACTTCATCTGGACTGATGTCACAGGGCGCACCGATGCTCCTCGCCTATCGTCGCCGTCGTCGCAGCGGCTACGGTGGTCCTTGTCGCTCCTGGACCTCGACTTTGATGTCGTACGCACCTCTCTCGAGATAGTTTGGCCAAGGCGTGATGACAATTCCATTTGGAGAGCGCGAGCGATGGACGTACTGGCTGTCGCTGGTTGAGTTGGCGCGCAGAGTCCAGAAGCTTTTCCAAGTACAGCTCCATGCCAAGGAGACTCTCCCCGAACGTGCCATGTGTCCTGGACGCCATCAAGTTTGACTAGCAGTTTCACGTCGCCGGTTTCATCCGGACAGTTTCGCCTCACTCATATATCGAATCGTTGTGACTTTGTCGATTAAACATACTCTAGCGTGACGACAACGACTGCGGTCGAGTCTTGAAGGATGCCCTGGTTCGTCACCAATGGCATCGAGTCGGTGAGGCACTTGTCGATCCCGCGCAGCGCTGCCGGCCGGTCTTCCGTATTGACGATGTATCGAGGGGCGTGAGGAAGGACGTAAGTGACGCCGCTGGCGTGGATGACGCTCCACAGGTCCCATCGCTTCGGTCGAACCTGACCAGGACAGTTTTTACTGCATGAGGCACGTCCCCATCACATGATCGATGCAAACCTCTTGGACTTGGGCATCGAAGTCGGGCGATTCCACAAGGCGTAGCTGGATGCGCCAAGGCCCGACCGTGGTCAGTGGGGTCGACTCAGCCTCCAAGATCAAGTCGAGAGGAAGCACGGTCTGGAACATGGGCTCGCGGAACAAGACTAGGGTCTTTCGGTCCGTCACATAAGATTTTGTGGACTTTTTCAGCGTGATCCACGACGCTTTGAAATTGTTCTTGAGCACTTTGACCCGCAGTTCGCTCATGGGCTTATCTCGAATCATGCGCTCGCCCTACGCAAGCGCACAGTCAGAGTGTTTTCGTTCGTTGCGAGCACAATAGGTGGGTACCATGCGCTCATGGCACACTCGCCGCAGGATCTCCTTCCATAAAAACATGGGCTGCGCACACAACAGCGTCAAATCGATCCAGACTGCAAGCCCCGAACTTTGTACAGTGGCGAGCACAGGTCCGAGCAGCGCGGATTCCAAGACCTACATCCAGTCTATCAGGTCGACATCGTCACACAGTGAACGACGGTGTGGCTCTTACGTCGGCGCATTCGGTCGCTTCTTGACCCAAGTTGGACAAGTTATTCAAATACCCTGCCAGCACACAGGATAAATCAATCCCAGCGAGCTCAAGCAAAGGCCGAAGCAGTCGTTTGTACCGTCGCCATAGATTTCTTGCAAGAGCGGCATCAGCCGACGACGGAGTTTTCCCCGCGTACTCCACTGGGGCGTTGTGTCCTTAAAGTACGGCACGCCGAAGACGTGGGCAAAGTCAAAAATGGCATCTTTCGTCACCGACAGTAGCGGACGCCAAATGCGAACCTGCGATCGCACCCGTGGGAATCGTCCCTTGACATCGACGACGAAGGATTTGATCGTACCCCATTCACCACGGACGACGGTGTCATGCCGTTGAGGCCCAGGAGACTTTGGCCCTTCATCATGTTGGAGATGACATTCTCTTGGACATCGCCTCGGTGGTGGCCGACACACATGCCCGGGATTGAATGCTTCGCCATCACTTCCTGGTACGTCGTGTACCGGATGTCGCGACTGAGGTTTTCGTAATCTTCGCGCTTGGTCGTGGCGCGCTGGAACTCGCTGATGGGACGAACGAAGCATTCAATGCTACAGCGCCGCGCGATGACACGTTAAAATGACAGACAGCTCAAGGAGGTCACAACCGACTTGTGCTCGCTGGCCCAGGCATCGACAAACGCCGCTTCGGCACAGCTTTCGGCTCGATTGAGGTAGTCAATGTGCACAGCAACGACCTGGACGGCACATATTTACACCAACACGCCTTAAAGTTGTCAGCATACCTTGTAGTTGTTGTAGTGTGGCGCCAGCTTCACTAACAAGTACGCAATGACCATGGAATCGACTCCACCCGATAGGGAGATCCCTATGGCTGGACAAGACTCGGACCCAGCGCGCATGGAAGTCAGGAACGAATGCATAACCGGCACCAACGGATGCTTTGGCAAGAGGGTTGCTTCGTTTGGGTTTACGAACGCAGCCCGTTCCAGAATGTCGAATTCCTCGTCAGGCGCTTTGAGGTTTGGGGCGCGAAGATGCGCCTGGCGCTGCACAGTTGTGCGCCGAAATTTGGAGAGGAGGTCCGTGTTTTCGACCATCGTGTGCTGTCCATGTCAATGCGTTGAACAGCTCCACGATTTGCATTGTCCAAACTTACCTCGCGGGCGTCAATGTGGGCCAAGACATGTTCGAGGCGGTCGGGGGTCGGAGAATGCCGGAAAGGCATGAGGGCAAACACAAAATGCGGGACCGGGACGTTCAAGTGGAGTTGCTGGTCGACGAACTCAGTGGCCAATTCCAACGCGATGACGTCGATGGCCTTGCGTCTATCTGCATCGTGTCGGTACACGTGACGGCAGAACTGGTCAAGGAGAACGATCAACGCCACAAACGAAGACGGACGACTTGTCCAGGTCGCATGCAGTGCTCGCGTTTCGGCAGTCGCCAGGAGGTCGCCAAACCTGGCCGTGATATCAGCATCCGCAGCAGCTTGAACCTCACTTCCAGACGCAGGGAACCACTTCGTCCGATACAGCTCGTGCATGTCGCCATCAAACCAGTACGCAAGGACTTCGTCCGCCGACGTTGCCACGTCCATGGCTGCCGACACTTGGTTTCAATGGCGGAAAACGACATGGTGTATCCGGACAATCGTCATTTGGTGATCAAGTGGATCTTTATCCGAATGACCGACGAAAGGTCACGACCGTTGTACCAGTTACATCCAAAACGTCACCGACTGGCTTTGAGCCGGCAAGATGAACGTGGTCGGTGTGATGGCGGTTTCTGGGCCTGACAAGAGTGCAGTTGCGGATGAACACCCTGGTAGCGTCTCGTCGGGCAGCGACGAAGAAAAGGAGAGCGCGCAGCCTGTGGCGCCGTCGCCAGACGACGACATCACCGTTGACCGCCTCGAGGCTGCGTTCAACAACCGTGGAGATTTCCTTCTGATCTTCCTGTCGCCAGTGTTCTTCACGCTGTTTTTCTGTGTGTTTGCGTCCGCGGCGCTGACCCATGTGCCAATAAAGGAAATATTTCCATCCCATCGCGGCTTGGCCATGACCCTCATGGCGATTGGCGACGTACGTCTTCAAACGTCCCACAAGTTGAAAACTCATTGCGCACGTACAGGAAACATTTGAAGACACGACACTCCAGTTCAAGCGAATTCACACACCGGACGACGCGCTTCAATGGCTGACGCAGTCGTTGGTCCCAACGCTGTTCACAGCCCCGGACGCCAACGCTCTGGCTGCCATTCCTGCTGCACGTCGAGCTCGCGTTGCCACGTACCAAAAAATCGTCGGAGCGGTTGAAATTCGAGTGTTCTCGGTGCCTTCTATCGCATGTAGCAGCTCGAACGAGCTCACGAAGATCTACCACCCGTGCCACAACTTCAACGCTGTCCCGTTCGAAGTGCCATGGTACATTCCAGCCAACAGCCCTCGCGACGACGTCCTCGTCTGGCTGTCGGGTCTCCAAGCAAACGGAAGCCTCATCAGTCCGTCGATGACGTCGCTTCACGTGACAATTCCGATGTACAACGGAGAGCTGGACTTGCTCTGCATCGTGTCATTGCGGATCAACTTCCAGTCCGGCGGGTTCGTCGACACCAAGTATAAGCTGACGTCAATTCCGCTTGGTACTGACAGGTCTCCGTGCTCTTCAAACTCATCGACACCGTGTGTGCATGATGTAGATCCCTACGGCGGCCAACAAAGCAGCGTCGACGTTCTTGTCGTCATATTCTTTGCCATGACGCTCGTCATGGAGTATCGCAAGTACCGCCAAGTTTTGAAATGTCGACAGCGCCGTTTCTGGACGCCGTGGCGAGTTGTTACGTGGTTCGTCCTTATTGCGGTCGTGGTGTTTTATGCATGCTGGGTGGTGCTGTGCGTGCTGGTGTACGACCTGTCCCTTCAGAACAAAGTTATCACGCTGGACGATCCCGCCCTCGATATCGACGCCAACGTCAAGCTGTTTGAGACGTACGTTGGCGACATTCTTGCCAACGTGACGACCATGGACTACGTCATGATTGCCCTTCGACTCGTCGCCATGAGTGGTTGCTGCTTGCTCATGTTGCGGTACGTCCGTCCGGTCGTCGACACGTGTCTGACTGGAGACGTTGGAACTGTCGGTGTGGGTTAGAATTCTCGGGTCGCTGCGATTCCATCCTCGGCTGAATGTCGTCACTGCGACCTTGGTCAAGTCGCTCCAGGACCTGCTTCCGTTTTGTTTTGTGTTTGTCGTGTGCCTGTCGGCGTTCGTCGTGTCCGGGTGCCTCTTGTTTGGCGACAACGTGAAGCAGTTCAGTACGGCCAGCATGGCGTACGTGACGGTTGTCAACATGCTGTTTGGCCAGTTCGATTTGGCGCAGATCTTCGACGTCAACTACTACTTTGCCGTCGTGTGGTACTGGAGCGCCATGGTCGTCCTCTTCCTCGTTCTGTTCAACCTCCTTCTCGCGGTCGTGTTGGAGGTGTTCTACCGCGAGCATCACAAAGCCGACGCACAGGCCGCCCCGTACATCCAAGCGATTTCAGACTTGCAGCGCATGGAAGGGGTGTGGCTGTGGCCATGGGCTCACCGAGACATGCTTGCGCTCGGCCGTGCCGTCAAAGCCAAACACCTCGCCGAGATCACAGCTCCAGCTATTGCAAAGGCGTTAAATTTATCTAACGACCACGCAAAGACTGTGTTGGCCAAGGCAACGGCATTCGCCAAGGTGCTTCGCCCACCAGGTGACCACCTAACTCCACGATGTTGTAACAGGTCATGGATGTGCTGCGTCAAGCGTACACTGCGGAGTCACCTCGAAAACGTGAAAGTCACGTCGAGTGTGTCCACCAGCAGCTCGGCGAGATGGAAACTCGGATCGCGTCGATGGTCGCCCGGCTCGACACTCATGTTTAACGGGACCCATGACGCACTTGACAGTCACGCCAACAAGATCTCTCGCCATGCAATACTGTTTGCCACGCACCTGTGGCTGCTGGACCTTGCTTTTGTGCAAAGGTCGCTCTCGTTGTGTGCCGATCCAGAGGAAGGCGGCAGTGATGCCTACGTGCCAACGTCGGTGTTCCTCTCATATCTTAATCCACTACACTGAATGGTTCAGAATGCACCATAATTCCAGTTCCAGAGCATCGCATTGGCACAAGTGTATGCACTTTGCGATCCAAAACTCTCCGCCATTTCATCTCTTGAGTGCTTTGGAATAGCCATTTCAGCTCATGAAACGATGAACTCCACTCTTCCTCGTCACCAAGCTGATGTTTGCTCAATCTCCATCGATATCGAAGCTTAGTTTGCAGCCGTCCAAGCGCTTGTGCGGCTCCGCCGACACGTACTCCAAGCAACAATTCATCGTAGCAAACGATGTCACATCCCCTTTGCATGCTCGGTCTGCATTTGTCCATGCGCTGATCCGGCCGCATTCGCGCACATGACACGCCTACCTGCAGCGACTCTTCGTCAGTGTGCAATAGGTTGGCTCCCAGCGCTACTTTGGCTTTTATTTCGGCAGCGCTGGTACAAATTTCTATCATTGACAGTTCACCCATCTCTGTCGTGCGGTCTCCAGGTGACTCTCGCCCGAATGGTACCCCCATCGCTCTCTTCTCGTTGCATCTGCACGACATGTACGATCGCTGCCGTCTGTTTCGGCCATTAAACAGCCGAACAAGATGGAGTTGTGCCGCGCGTATACGTTTGGGTGAATTCTTGATGTTGTCATGACTACCATACGCCTTTGGCAACAAGTTCGAAGGCCGCAAACTGAACGTCTCCGTGGTCTATAAAGGTTGCGCCAACTTGAGTTGTCCGCTTCCTCGGACGACACCACGTCAAACAAATCATCGCTCGCCTCTGCAAATAGAACTCATCGACTGGCGACACAGTTATCTTCCTTGCCCGCCAGACCGCTTCAACCTTTACCAAACACCAACCGAGATCTCAAGGATGCGTGGGGGGGGGTCGTGCTGGCAATTGGGCCGACCAAGTGACTCGACACTCAAAAGGTTTGCCATGACCTGTCGGTAGCTGACTTGGTCGTCGGTGGTGTCGCCGTCATTGTGTGTGGTTTTTTGGGTTGTAATTATAGCTGCAAGATATGAATAGCCCGACTGCCGTCAGCAAGACACGTCGTGCCTGTTTCATGAGGCTGTGCCAGGTCGTGATTTGCAACGCAGGTGAACACCATGGCGGCCATGCCCTCGTCCATGACGCTTCGGCGTTCCCTCTCGTCATACAACATCCTGACGGTCCAGGATGTCGTCGAAGCGTACGACAGTCGCAACGAGTTCAAAGCAATCTTCATCACGCCAGTTGTGTACGTTTTCTTTTTCATCTTTTTTGCGTCCGCCGCGTTGACGCACGTGCCGATTGAGACCATGTTTCCATCCCAAAATGGGCTCTATTCGACGCTCGTCACGTCCGGATCGGTAAGGATCTGCGTCCGCCGCGCTCCGACATGAACGGCGGTGCGTAGGACACACTCACACCCGAGTCACCGATGCAATTCAAGAACATTCAGTCGCACGCGGATGTGTTTGCATGGCTCACCAACACGTTCGTCCCGACCGTGTTTGCCTCGACAGACTATAACAATGACACGATCCCGATCGACCAAGTCGGTCGCATTGCGTCGTTTCAAATCATCGTCGGCGCGGTCGAAGTCAAAGTGTACGTGGCGCCCGTCGTGCCGTGCAAAGACTCGGTGTCGCTCTCGGCCATCTACAACACATGCCACGACTATGAACACGTCCAAGAGACCAAGCCGTGGTACTTGAGTCCCAAGCTACCCGGCCCTGAAATCTACGACTGGGTTGACCACGTCAAGCAATCTCGTTCCCTTGTCAACACGTCGACTACTGCCCTCCATATCAACATCGCCACGTACAACGGCGAGCTCAACCTGCTCTGCATCACAGCACTTCAAATCAAGTTTCAACGTGGTGGGTATATCGACACACGGTCCAAAATGACGTCGATGCCTCTTGGTGCGTTGGCCACGTTTGTGGCGAGGCAACTCACACCCACGCCTAGATCCGTACGGGAACGACGCGAGCAATGGCCTCATGGACTTTTTCACCGCCATCATGTTTGTGACAGTCGTCTCGATCGAGTATCGCAAGATATCCCGGCACCGCATGCGCCACACGGTCGTGTGGACCAAGTGGCGCACCATCACATGGATGTCGCTGGTGTCCGTGTTGACATTTTATGTCTTTTGGACCATCTTAAGCGTCATGGTGGACGCGGACGGCCTCAAGCATGACATCATCACGATGCAAGACCCAGCGTTTGACTTTGATGCGAGTTACGACCTGGGGGTGCAGTACTTGAGCACGATCATGGAGAGGATGAAGTCGATGGGCACGATCATGACGATTCTCCGGCTCAGCGCCATGGTCGCGATGTGCTTGCTCATGTTTCGGTATGCTCTGTCAAAACAATTCGGGGTTGACGATCTAACATTAGCATCCTCGGCTCGTTGCGGTTCCACCCGGGGCTGAATGTAGTCATGGCGACCCTGACCAAGTCGCTTCGATCGCTCGCGCCGTTCTTCTTTGTGTTTGTCGTGTGCCTCTCGGCGTTTGTCCTGTCGGGCTGTTTGCTGTTCGGCGACAGCACCAAGGCCTTCGGCTCCATCGGCATGTCGTACGTGACCGTCGTCAACATGTTGTTTGGCCAGTTCAACCCAGACACTGTCCTCGACGTCAACTACTACACAGCCGTCGTGTGGTACTGGAGCGCCATGGTCATCCTTTTCCTGGTCCTTTTTAACATGCTCCTCGCGATCGTGATCGACTCGTTTGAGAAGGTGCACGATCGGACCGAGAAACGATCGTCGCCGTACTTTGCCGCTATCTCCGGGCTCGCACGGCTCGAAGGACCATGGCTGTGGCCATGGAGCCACCGCGACATGCAACGGCTCGGACGCGCCGTCCAGTCGAACGAACTCACTGACGTGTCGCCGAGTGCCATCGCCAAGCACCTCGCCATTCCAGACGAACAAGCTCGCCGCTTGCTCATGAAAGTCCGAGCGTTCAAGCAGGTAAGTCTGTCTTCACGGTTGCCGCGTGCGTGACCAGCTACTTTTTCATGACGCATCTGCAGGTGATGGATGTCCTGCGTGATTCCTACGAGGACGAACACGAACGCGAAGTGGAAGGGCCATCGACCCAAGACTTGTCCAACCAGCTCACGGCCTTGCAAACCCAAATTGCGACACTGGTGGCCCGACTCGACTCGCCTGTGTAATGCCGATAACAGCAGTCTCCATCTTGAACGAGAGGCCACGAAACATCGTTTAGCTAATCCAGTGGAATCCCGCTGGGTACGGACAGATCATTTTGCGTGTACGCGCAGTGCTCAAGCAGACGTGTACGGCACGGTCGGCTTTGCAGGATGATGCGTGTGTGGCTCATCCTCCCAACGATATGAATGGAACGTCGCGGCGGGTGGCGTCGTCGTCCCAGTGCCTCCCCTCCAATCCCTCCGCTTTTGGACGAGTGACGGGCCATGACGTGGCGCTTTGTCCTAAGACTAAAGTGTACTCCGCACAGTGCATGTATCGATTTGTCTTCGTGACCTCCGTATGGACGGCATAGGAGCAGCAGTCACGTCGGCTCAAATCCAAGGACAACCTCATCCGTTCCGGCATGGCTGCCCTCGATTTGGTCATGCTCCAGTGCGGACGTGTCATGATAAATCGTGGCATGACCTGCATGGATACAAAGCCATCGCGACGTTCGCGGCGTCGCTCATGCCGTTTTTCTGCATCTTCCTCATCTGGTTGGTCACGTATGGGGCGTTCTCTTTGGCGAGAGCGCCTCGTGGAGTTCACCACGATGCCTCGATCCATTGTGACTGTTGTAAATCTAATGTGTGGCCCGCTCGTCGACCTCGCTGCGATCTTTCCTGTCGACGACATCACGGCGTTCGACGGGTACTGTTGCGCTATGATCGTCCACATTCTCGTGCTCTTTAACAGGGTCGTCGCGATCGTCTTGGCTGCGTTCGACCAAGTTCGGACCGTCTCGGCCATCAAAATTGCGCCATGCATGGCGGCAATCGCCAAACTCTCTGCCAACTCACAGTCCCCATGCTGTGACCATGATGGAATCATCCGTACAAGGTGTAGTTTCGGCATGTTGGCAGACCGACGTCGCCGCCACAACCACGGGAGTCATGACCGCGCTGTTCATCGCCAAGCCGCAGTCCATTCCAGAGAGAACAACATGTTTTCCAGCGCAAGACGACAGCGTTTCGGACGACCCAGCAGCTATCGACTGCCTCTCGGGTGGGAAAATGGGTTTATGCTTCGCCACACCAACTCCAATCCGCTCGACGACGATGAAGATGACATCGTCCAAGATTCAGCATGGACGGTTCGACGAGCTCACCCTGCATTTGGACGCCAAGCGCTGTCCCCGTCACTATGCCACGTCTGAGGTGCGACTCCAAGCTGCGAAACCGGTGCGGAGTCCAGTGAATTGTCGTGTCGTAGAGTCGTTCGAGTTGACTGGATGTGGTTGTCAAGTCGATGGTGCACCTTGGCTGCGGAGCGACGCGCGCATCCACGAGAACGAATGGTCTAGCAGTCTCTGGAACGATCCGCATCAAGCGTTAATACATAGGCGATCCATATTTTCAATCCCGGACACATCGTGTCCGAGTTACATGACAGCGCGGTACGTGACATACCGCCCTGCCGTCTCGCTAGGACGAATGATCTTGACGACTTGGCCGCGGGACATGCCGTAGTAGCGGGCAATGGGGTCACTCGCTTGCATGCGGGGAAGCTGGGTGTCTTTGAGCTTGTAGCGCTTGAGCAGCGCCAGTTTTTCCTCCTTTGTCAGGACCTTGTGCACAGGCACGAGGGTGTGTTCAGTGATATCCACGAGGAGCTCGTTTTCCTTGAAATGGTCGATTTTGTATCGAGGTGCCATTTCGTTCAATGCTTGCTTGGCAAAGGGGGTGATGCCGTCCTACAAGAATCCTTCCATCGGGGGATTCGATCGTACAATGGTCGTCCATACCTGGACAATCAAGATGGCCTTGGTCACGTTCTCATCCTTCATGCGGTTGCAATAGTTACGAATTGGCTTCACCCCCACCTTCGGGTCCTCCGGGTAAAACACAAACAAGTTGTCGGACGGGTCGTCCACTTTTTCGACGAGAATCGTCATCGTGTCGCGAGTCGGGTTCTCGCCAAACTGTGCAGTGAATCCCTCCGGTGTACGATGGAGCTCTTCTTCGCTCACGATGTACCCTCGGTTGTGCAGCATCTTGACCACCGTCTTGCGGACACGAAACAGCTTGGACGCTTCAGGGTTGAGGCTCATCTTGCTTCACGACCAAGGAATCCCAATATGCGCCCGACTCGATGGGAGGGCATCCGCATAATCGCACCGTTTTCCGGATATTGCCCATCCTCGCCATCCAATGGGACGGAAACCTCTTTCGTTTAATATTTAGATTCGATGGGGGGAGACACAGTTTACACGACTGAAATGTCCGTCGCCAAGTCCCCCCATCATGGCTAGACAACCGACAGCGCACATCATCCCCATGCCGCGCAACACAATGCCGTGAAACGAAGGCACTGTCGTGTGGTTGTTGGCCACCCACCGTGTCAAGGTCTCTTGCGCAGACCTAGATGCCGTTCCAGCAAGTCGGTAGCCCTTCATGGGCAGCAGCAAGTCGACGAATTCGCAACGTACGGAAAAATGTCCTCATGATTGCTTGTTTGGAATAGCTCATGCAGCAGCCTTTGTTGGTATGCAAGATGCGTAGCCGTGGCGCTCCCTGAAGGAGCCGCCCAACTGGTTGCATCGTTGAGAGGCACCGTGGAGAGTGTCGCGCGGCGATGTCGCAGCATCTGCCTTGGTCGTGTCCATGCGAAAGAATGGCTGCGGACTGGGGCCGTCGTCGACTGCTCAAACACTGCAGTGTCAAGGCTATTGTTACTCGAGTCACTTGCGCTGACAACTACGTCATTCCGTTGTGATGTTGAACAAGCAATGGGGGTGGCTCTGTCGTCGCGTTTCTAGACGGAAACTTGGGCTTCGAGGCGGCAGAGCGTCGCTTGCAGCGACTCCAGTGTCTCTTTTCGGTTCTTGTGCAAGTGGCACGTGTTTTGTAGATCCCGCTGCTCCTGGTGGATCTCGTCCAGGAGCATCGTGAGCGCCGCCGTGGCTTCGGTCAGGTCCTGCTGTTCTTGGATGTACAGCCCCATGAGCGCTTTCAGCGCGGTCATTTTGTCTTGGACTTGGCTGAGCTTGGGGCACACCACCATCTACGATAGCTCCCCGTCATCATCATCATCCCGATTTTCAACACACAACCGCAGCACCTCGCGATGCGCCATGCACTCCTCCAAGTACAGCTCGATGGCGCTCGGTACTTTCGTGCCAATCACTTGGTCGAATGTCGCCAGCAACGCGGTTTCGTTGGTCTAAACGAGGCACAAATTCGTCGGGAAAGGTGCTGTCCTGCAATGCTGTCCACATACCAAGGCTTCGATTTTGTCGTTGAGTTGCTTGATTTGGGTCGCCAGCATTTCTTGGGTTTTTCTACAACCCAGTCAGAAACGTGGCGAGGACAAATATCGGCGGCGCACCCACCGCTTTTGCAGCGCAGCTTCCGAGAGCGGCTCAAATACAGACACGTGGTAGTCGAGGGTTTTCGGGTTGAGCCATGAAAACGCATTGTCCCACTCGAACTTCAACACGCCCGACGCTTTGGCCTGGAATGTGCCTTGCAAGCGCTCGACACGGTTGATCGGGACGACGTCGGTGTCGCCGTTGAACGTCAGCGCAAAGTTGACGTCCGTGTCGAGCTCTTCGATGCGGAAACTCCATTGAATCGTTTGGCCAGCCGAGACAACGACGGGCAGGTCAAATGAGCTTCCAGCTTTGATCACGACGCCGCTCTTGAGAACGAGCGTAACTTCCAACGGATTCACCACGATGTCGTCGGCGGAGACGGGGGCAGAAATGTCCTTGGCCAGCGCGTCCTGGAGCGCTGCGTGTTCGTCGAGTTTGGCCTGCGCCTCGTCCAGCCACACTTCTGCGTCGAGCTTGAGCTTGGTCATGTGCACCACATGGAGGTCCTTCCGTTCCATCAACGCGCGCTTCTCGTGCTCGATCGTGCGCTCGAGTTCGTCCAGCATTTTCGTATGGACCGGCGCCTTCAACGTCGCGAGCTGCTGGAGCTTCTCGTTCAATGTTTCCCGAAGACTTTGCACGGACTGCATCAAGTGCGTGTTTTCGAGTTGAAGGTTTTGAATTTGCGCTTGATATGATGCTGCGTCGGGCGTAGTTCCGTTGCTGCCGACCGGGGGTGGCTGTGGTTGGGACACGGCAGACACTTGACGCAGCAACGACTCGTTTTCCGCCGTTAACGCTGCCACCTTGGCTTGCAACTGACCAAGTTGTCGATGGGTCGCGTCGCCTGCCGCTCGGTCGTCGTGGGAAGGAGTCGAAGCAAACTGTGCCTTCAACGCAGCGATTGCAGCGTCATGCTCGACCTGCTGAGTGTGGCGTTGGTCGGCCAATTGTCGTTGGGCATCTTGCGTTGCTTGGCGCAATTGCAATTCGGCGTTTTGTTTGAGCAACTGGACGTAGCTGTTTTTCTCTTCGAGTTGGGACGTGAGCAACTTGGTCGCTTCAAAGGCCATCTTTTCGTTGGCCGCTTCCACCTCCAAACGACTCGACAAATCCGCCAGCGCTGCGTCTTTCTGGGCCAGGAGGAGCTGCAGCTCGCGCAACTTGCTGTCGTTCGTGCTGCTATCTTCCATTGACTTCTGCACTTGGCCATTCTCTGATTGGGACGACTTCTGAAGCGATGCAACAAGGGCAGTTTTCTCCTGAGCATGTTGATCGATTAATTCTTGATGCGTGCGCTCCAGCTCTGCCAATTTCAGTCGCCACGCTTCGTCGAGAGCTGCTTTTTCCGGCTCGAGTTGCGCAATTCGCTCAAGGCATGCGGCGCTGTCGTCTCGAGTCGTTCCGTCGTTCGAGAACGTCTTCCGGAGGGCTTGGAGTTCGGACAGGGCAGCATCCCGCTGGGCCACGACGTCCTGGTACTTGGCTTCGATCGCTGCTTTCGCATCAATAACATCGACCAACTCGGTCTTCATCTTGACCAGTGCGGCATCGAGGATGGCTGCTTTATTCATTTCGGTCGAAACTTCAGCGATCTGTCGTTCGAGATCCGCAACTGCTTGATTCTGCTGCGTCAATTCCAAGAGAGTTGCCTCCAGTTCGGCTGAGCGCTCCTGGCGTTGCTTCGATTCAGTCTCGCCAACTGCACTGAGTTTTGCCAACGCCTCGTCCAGTTGCTCCTGCAACTGGGCAATGGATGCTTCAAACGATTCCTTGTCGCTCATCGCCTTGGTCACTAGCATCGACTTGAGTTCCAGCGTTTCATTGAGCGCTGTTAATTCATGCTGCACTTGTTCCAGTCGGACGGCAGCTGCCGCCAATGCAGCGTCCTTCGTCGCCAACGACGCCTCCAACTCCTGGACGCGGACTCCTGTCGCCTGGAGTTGGCTGTGCAAGTCTGCCGTCGCGGTTTCCAGCTCCACTTTGATCACTGCCTGCACCTTCTCCTTTGGCACTGAAGCACGCGCAGCGTCTTCGATGGCGGCCGTCAACCCTACTCCGTACGCAGTGAGAGTTGCTCGTACACAATGGCAAAACGAACGTGATATGATCTCTTCCTTGTTCAGCAACGCATTCTCGTGAGTTTCCCGAACGTGGCGACCATATTCTTGCAGAGTTGCCAGTTGCGTTTCGAGTTGCTGCTTCTCGGCCAGCATCGGATTGAGCAACGCCGTGCGCTTTTCAGCCTTCTTCAATGCCGCCGCCGCCCGCGTCTTATACTCTTCGAAGGCGGTTTGCATGTCCTTCAGCTGCACCTATTCACGATCGACATTGTCATGGTGCATGCACCGCACGCATAGATCGTATACCAATGCATTGTCACGTTCTTGATGCATGGCGGCTTGCCGCGCTCCATCCGACGCGAAAGCTGCCGACTTGGTTGCTTCCAGCTCGTCGATGGTTCTTTGGAACGTTTCGATTTCGCTTGCATGCGTCTTTTGGAGGGTATTCACTCTTGCCTGCCACGTTGTCACTTCTGCTTCGTAGCGCGCGACCGCTTGCAACTTTTCAGTCTCAAGGGCTTCCTTCTGCGCGACCAAGCTGCCGATATCTGCAGCATGTTGTGTTAGCGCCGCACGGACTTGCCGAAGTTCGTCCGCCAAGGCAGCCTTGTCCGCTTCCAATTCAGTCTGAGACGCTGTCAACCCATCACGGTCCGTTTGCAGGTGTGCTTTTTCGGCGACCAACGCATCGAGCTGCTCTTCCAGCCGTTGAATGTTGACTGCATGCTCTTTGGTCAAAGTGTCCACATGCTTTTGAAGGATTTCAACATGGCCAGCCTTCAACCGGTCCGACAAGTCGCGCAACTCGACGGCGTGCACGCGTTGGGCCTCTACAAGAGTCTCTCTTTCATCTTCCAACTGTTTGATTCGGCTTTGGAGCTCCAGCGCCGATGCTTTTGCCTCTTCTGAAACAATCGCCAACTCACACGTCAATGCACCGACTTTGTCCTCGTGACTACCATCGCTACAGGAGGCTGCTGCCTTGGCCGCTGTTTCGTAGTCGTGCTTGAGTTGCTCTATGTGCCGGTCGTGATCTTCCATGAGGCGCAGCTTCTCGTCTGTCAGAGTTTGGACCGCTTGCTCCAACGCTTGAAATTGGTCCTGCCACTGGCTTTCGCGAGCACTTGCAGCGGCTTGCCACGCTGTTTTTTCCGTAACGAGCACATTCACTTGGTCTACCAGCGCCTGGACTTTCGCAGCGCATTCACCTTGCACGGCTTGGAGCTCTGCTAGCAAGTCTGCTTTGGTTTCTTCGGATGACAGCAAGTTGGCCCGTACGGAAGCGAGTTCTTGGTCCAGCCACGCAACTTGAGACTCGAATTGAGCCGTTGTTTTGGACAACTCTTCCATGGTCGCTTCTGTCGCTAGCTGTGCAGTCGTCGCCCGATTCAGCTGCACGATGTCGTCCTCGAGTTCAGCCACCCGCGCAGCCAACTCGTCCGACAAATTCTTCAACGACACCTTTTCTTGTGTGAGAGCGGTCTCGGTCATTGTCCATTCGTCGATAGCCGCTGTATGTTGCTCCTGAAGGACTCGAAGGGATTCTTCTGTCGATGCAGCGGTAGCGAGGGCACCGCGCAGTTGGTCTGCTAATACGCCCTTGCCTTCTGTCGCTGCCACTACGCCCGCTCTAGCGTTTTCCAGCAACACTCGCGACTCATCGTGCAACGTGAGCAATTCGGCGTCCTTGGCAGCAACTTGCTTTTTCAGGTCCTGGACGTTCTGGACAAATTGCTCTTCCATCACTTTTTGCTGCGCCTGCCAGTCAAATTTTTCCGTCTCGAACACGTCCTTCGCCATTGCCAGGTCGTCTTGCGAAGCTTTCAATTGCTCCCCCAAATTGGCATTTTCGTCTTGAATCCCAGCAAATTGCTCCAGCAACTCCTCACGGCTAGCTTCGAGGGACGTTGCGGTGGCCTTGGCCGTCTCTAGTTGCTCGAGCAACTGTGTTTTGGAAGCTTCCAAAGCATGGACTTGCTTGGACAATTCAAGCAACTTGGAGTCGTTTTCATTCAGCGACGTTGCCGACAAGTCCGCCACAGTCTGCGTCAAGTGCTGTACCTCCAGTTCGAGCGCCTGTGCGCGCTCGATCCATCGCTCTTTCTCGGCGCGTAGCCCTGCCACTTCGTCCTTGAGTCGTGCGCCGTGTTCTTGCCTGGCCATTTCCTCTTCCTCGTGGGTCGTTCGCATTTCTTGGTGCAATTGGTGGGCATTTTCCACGTGCAGTTCGAGCGCGCGCACTTGCTCTGCATGGAGGAGCACCGTTGCTTGTTCCTGCGCGACAGACGCTTCCAGCCGCTCGATTTGTGCGTGAAATTGACCTTTTTCCTCGTTCAATAGACGAATGGCTGTCGCGAGCAGCGTGAGCTTGTCCCCAACGCTGCTCACGCTTTCGACGCCGCCGATGCTGCTACTGCTTCGATTGCGGTCATGGTTGTTACTGGGGTCGTTTGAAGTCAGCTGCGCTTCCAACCTCGCAATACCGTCGCGGACTGCCACGAGTTCGAGTTCCCATGACCCAGCAGTCTGCACTGCCTCTTCTGCTTGACGCCGCACAGCCACCAATTCGTCTTCGAGCGTCTCGATGGTGTCTTGGTTAATTGCTGCCAGCTCTTCGGCCGCGACCAGTTGGCGTCGGGCCGAAACGAGATCGGCCGTCAACGAATCGGCAGTCCCGTGCACGGTCGCCAATTGAGCTCGAACGTCCGCTAGCTCTGTCTTTAAACTTTCTACGACAGAGTCATGGTTGTTGTCGAGACCGGAGGTGGCCGCCGACGACAGTTGCGCTTCCAGCGCTTCCAACGTGGACTGACGTTCGTCGAGTTCTCGTTCCAGCGACTCGATCTTGAGTCGATTCGCCTCGATCAAGTCTGTGGATGCAGCCAGTTGGATCTGGGTCTCTTCCAGCTCGACCATCGTCCTGTCGGTGGAATCCACCGACGCTGCCAACTGCTCTTGGGTGTCTTCCAGCTCAGCCAGTGCCTTTTCCGTGGCTTCCACCGATGCTGCTAACTCGACATGAACGTCGCCCAGTTCCGCTTGAGTCTTTTCGTGGGCCGCGGTGGTCGCTGTAACATTGTCGCGGAGAGCCACGAGATCTTTTTCCAAGGAATGGATGGTGGATAGCGCCTTGTCTTCTGCAGCCGTGAGTTGAAGCTCGTGCGACTCCAGCGCAGCGTGATATTGGGCACGGCAAGCCGCCAATTCGTCTTCGAGATGAAGAAGCGACGACTGCGCAGCTGCCACGGCAGTCGTGGACTCGACGATCTTCGCTTCCAACGCCTCCATTGCATCAGCACGACTGGTGTCGTTTTGCGCGCAGACGGTAGACATCGTGTGCTCAGCTGAGTGCAATTTCTCTTGGGCAGCCACAAGTTGCTGCGAGAGATGCGCCACCTGATCCGTTTTGGCTTTTAGATCGTTCTCTGTTTGGGATTCCTTTCCGCGCATCTCGTCAAGTTCCTTTTCCAGCATGTCCATGGCATCTTGGCTTGTCTTGATACGGTCGTGGAGTTGCTGGACTAGTTGCTGGGACGCTGCGTCTTTCGCACGCAATTCCGCCACGTCCTTTGCCAGCGCCTCGCTTTGCTTGAGCAAGCGTTCCCATTCTTCCTGCATTTCTTGCTCCGCGGTGGCATTTTCTGTCTTTAGCGCGTCCAACTGTGCCGCCAATGCGTCGATTTGGTCGTGGGCAACCGACAACTCAGCTTCCAACGCTTCCTTGGCTCCAGCAACTTCATGCTGACTTTTCTTGGATAAGGACAACTCAACTTCGATTTGTTCGAGTTGCTCTAGAAGTTGCAATTGCTGGGCTTGAGTGGCTTCATGATGTTGCTTCCATTGCGTCAATTCAGCCTCCAATGCCACCACTCGAGCTTCTGCATCCTTCAACGCGTTCTCGGTCTCGGAATTCCCGGTCTTTGCTTGAGCATTGGGTACTTGAGACAGAGCAGCAGACCAGTCCATCTCGGGAGTGTACGTATCACCCAGCGTAGACGCGAGCCACGTCTCGATTGCTTCCAAGCGTTGCACCCCAATGCGAACGTGGCTCGCCGATTGCGCCAACGAGTTCGCAGGTCCCATAGCTTGTTTGTTTCTCATTTCTTCGCTCTTCTTTTCCAACATCGCACCGACAAGCTGAAGATTACGCAGAGTGGTCGACATTGGTTCCGACGATAACGATCCCGCCATTTGCAAAAGCTGGTGCTGCCGTTCCATGAGGTCCGCCGACTGAAGCAAATGCTCCACAGACGCCAAGAGGCCCGCCGATGCATCAATGCCGCCCTTTTTGGCTGCATCTTCCGCTCGTTTTCGAAGCTTCTCGGCAATGCCCCTGACGTGGACACTTAGCTCCGCCGCCGCCATTTTGACAAAGTGAGGCGGCACTTTGCGATTGTTTAAAAATATACCAATCATAGGGCAGCAATACAGATAACGAAATCGGATTCGCTATAAATCGCATTGTCGACGACTGGCATGTTTTCAACGAATCAAATGCGCTAAGATCAAAAATTCGAGATAAATGTGGCTTAAAATAAATCATATTCAGCCAATCAAAACATCGGGATCGCAAGCAGATTGGTCATTATACAACTACGACGCGGACAGGGCAAACTTTTGGGACATCGAGCCCTTCATGTGGATGCACGAGATGGCTTCGGCGAGGAACGGCGCGACGCTGAGCGTGACGATCTTGGACGATTTCTCCGCTTCGACGGTCGATGAGCATGCAATCGTGTTGGTGGTCACGACTAAGTCGAGGTCCTTGCATTCGTTCAACGTGGTGATCGCCTACACAGTTCCCGTGAGGTCTCGTCAACTCTGCGATTCGTGAGCAGGTCACTTCCTGAGTACGCACATTCGCAGAAAAGCGGCCGTGGACGCAAAAGGCGCTCACAGTCGCCGCTCCATGGCTCTTCAATAGCTTGGCCACTTCAATCAATGTCGACCCTGCATGTTCCGAGGATGAGCGTCGCCATGCCACTCGTGTTCCGTCGACGTACCCGTGTCCACGAGATTGTCGACTACAATGCAGTCCTTGCCTTCGACTTCACCGACCAATTCCCCAGGAGTCGACCGGTCCAAGATATGCTTCTTCACGACGATGGCCATCGGCAGCGCTACAGTTCCCAATGAAATTCACGCAACGAGGATGGTGCGATCCACCGAAACGAGGCAGACGTACGCGTGTCGTAGGTGCGCTGCAACGTATCGCGGAAGAGAAGGGATCGACGGACTGCCGACGCATGCGGGGCAACCACGCACGGGTGTTTGATGCCCTGCTCACTGAAAAAGACCGACCCGACTGGGGCCGCGTTCAGGTTATCCACAGGAATCTCGGGCTTGAAGAACCCTTCGATCTGCGAGCTGTGTAGATCGACAGTGACAACGTGGTCGACTCCCATTTCTTCGAGCATGCGGGCGACGTCGGCGGCCGAGATCGGCCCCCGGCCCTTCGACACCATGTCTTGTCGAGCGTACCCGTAGAAGGGAATGACGGCGACAATGGATTTGGCCGACGCACGGCGCATCGCGGCAATGCTGAGCAGGAGTTCCATGATCCGGTCCACTGTGATCGTCGAGCTCACGATGTACACCCGCTGACCGCGTACGTTTTCGTTAACATGAATGGACGTTTCCCCGTCGGCGAACCGAGACACAGTCATATCGCTGAGCTGAATGCCAAGGTAGGACGCAATTTCGTCGGCAATCGGTGTGTCGTCGCATTTGAACAACTTGACGGTCTTGCCGACGTTGGGATGCATCTTGCCCTTGTAAAAGTGCCATCGCTTCGTCGTCAAGGAATCCTTGTTGTACGAGGCAGGTGCGGAGGTCGCTACCCCACAGAGAAGACCTAGAGACGCCGCCGCCGCCGCCGCGGTCGCCTTGGACCGCCCAACGTGCCTCAGAAACATGGATCAAAATGGTCCCTGAAATCGTTAGGGCCAATCGCCGCACATGTAGTTTAATCGCATCGATTGCATTTTATCTTTAAAATTGTATGTCCATGGATTCCATCAATAAAAAAATTCACGCTTCAACAGATCTCGCTGTGGAGCGGGTTCATCTCATGGCTGGAATGAGATGGTGCAGCCTCGCGCACGTCGGTGCTCCATGAGAAGGTCTGGAGCAGGGCACTCATCCTCGTGCACGTCGGCGCCCCATGAGAAGGTCTGCAGCAGGGAACTCCTTCTCCTGCACGAACTGCATGGTTTGTTTACGCCGCTGGTCGATACCCTTCAACGATCCAGCGATCCGTGTCGATGGTCCCGACGCTACTGAGTCGCTCCATCTCGGCGGCGAGCATTGCTGCCTCGGCGGCTTTGGCTTTCAGCACAAGTCGGCGACGACGCCGCCGAACCACGAGACACTTGATTTGTTTGTACAGAATGTGCAGTTGCCTCGAGTTGAATAGCAGCAAGAGGGCGATTTGGAGGACGAGCGAGACCGTGCCCGCCACTTCCTGCACATCTTGGCTTACCGACGTCGTGACAAACGACGACAGCAGGACATACGTCACCTACAAGAACTATCAAACGTGGCTCACGAGCTGGTTGTACCATCTTTAGGACGAACGCCGTCGCTGCTGCGATGCTCTGAAACTCGAGGACGTACGGGCTGCAGTGGGTCGTGTACAGGAACATGCCAAACTGGAGCGTGAGGAGGAGCGTGAGCTGGGTCGGGACGTCTTCGACGCGGCCAATAATGACGCCGCTCGCGATCTCGGAGCCCATTTTCGCGACAAAGAAGTACCGGTGCTCATACGAGTAATACTTGTAGTACGCGCCATACGAAAACTTGAATGTGGGGTCGTTCAGCTGCGCCTCGGACTTGCCGCGGAGGAGGCACATGCCCAAGACCAACAGCCCGCAGCACACGACAGACAACGCCACGGTTGCGCCGTAGAACGATCCGGCGGCTATCGCGGACGCTCCGCCGTACCGCAGCTGGAAACTCGACGTCATGCTCAGCGCATACTCGGCGAGGAGGGCGACCCCCAGGGCGCTTTGAATCACACATCGAAGGAAGAGATGCGACGTTGGAAGCTCCGCCGCTAGTTGTTGCTTGACCAAGTTAAACCTACGACGACGCAGCCTCATCCGCTTGGCGACCCCCGCACCGTCCACATACCTTTTCGTGGCACACGCTGTCACGAAGCCATACGCGACACTCACGAGCAGCACGACCCCCAAGACGACGCAAGCAAGTCCGGTGGCGGTCGTAACAAACAGCGTGTCGGGCAAAATGTGCAGACGTTCGGCATATGCAAGGACACCCGCCACGATGTCGCCATCCTCGAGGTGTATGCTTCGCTTGTGCGTCGTCGGGGAGGCCGTCCCGTTGGCGGGACGTGGAAGATGAAACATGGTCCAAGCCAGCGAGTCGGTGAACTCGAAGTAAAAGGGCGGCGCACCGGGCATTTCCATGTGCCCCGTGGACGCAAGGAACTGGAGGTAGTCGAAGAGGAGCCCGATTGAAAACAGATCGGGCGGGGGCATCGACAGCGCCGACGACGACGCTGCTGCTGCCGCCGCCACAGTCGTCCTACCCACCGCGGAAAGTCAATGGCGGCGACGAAATGTGGGGGCGACCGTACGTAGCTCCAACACACGACGCCGTCGACGTGATGGCAGCCGACGTCGACGATGCAGCCGTGATCACAGTGAGGACACTTGTGGCCACGGCAGTGCCGACCACGAACGACGACGAGTGCGACGCCAGTTGCTGCAACGATTGAGCAAACGTCGGCGGCGGGTCGTCAGGCAGGAGGACTGGGGACGTTCCATCTATAGATCAGCCATGTCAATGCGCCAGCAGGATACAGTTTTGGACCGTACTTGGCGCCTCGAAATCAACCGACCACAATGCTACGTTCGGGTCATCCTGACGAAGCAGAGACGTACCAACCGATGGAGTGGACGACGGAATATGAGCGGGCTGCAGCGTGGTGGTCCAAGCTGGCTGGACAGGTAACGATGCTGCTGGTTCTGGTGGCGCCGATGAAGATGGGGACGAGGTTGCGGTCGTCGGTCCTGGTGTGTATGAGGATCTCGTTCGTGCAGGACTCGAAAAAGTCGGAGGGGGTGGAGTTGGGGAAGGCTCCATTGTCGACATTGGGCTGCCACTTGCTGGTGCAGTGGTAGAATCGGCAGGTGTGCTTGTAGATGGAGTGCCGGTGGCCGCTAGCGTCGACGCAGGCGCCGAAGACGTTGGTGGCGAGGGCAATAAAGTTGACGGCAAAGGAAATGTTGGCGCATCCGTTGGAGCAAGCGAAGTCGGCGAGGATGAACTGGGAAACATCGAAGTGGGAGCTTCGGTTAGGATTGGGCCTTGCGTTGCCGGCGGTTCCGTCGCGGGAGCAGCTGTCGGATCGGTTGTCGTAGCAGGAAGTGGAGTTGTTGATGGAGGCACTTGGGTCGCTGGGACTGGAGTGACGGGTGGATCCCTGGGAGGGGCTTGAGTGATGGGGGCATCCGTGGTAGGGTTTTGCGTCAGTGGAGATGAAGTGACGGGTACGTCGGTTGGAGGTGCTCGAGTTGGCGGTTCCACAGTGGTTGGGGCATTAGTGGGCGGTGCCAGCGTCGATGGTCCTTGGGTTGAAGGGACTGGAGTTGATGGGGCAACTGGAGGGGCCAGCGTCGGAGGAGCATCGGTGGTTGTGGAGCCTGTCGGTGGTTCGACCGTGGATGGTAGGGTTGATGGAAGCGGGGACGGCGTTTGTGGTGTCGGAGAAGTTGGTGTCCCTGAAGGCAGGGGAGTGGATGGAACGACATCTGGGGGAGGGTCGGTTTGAGGAATTATTGTAGTCGGGGGAGGGGTTTCGGTCCGTGGAGAAGGAGTGAGAGGGGAGTCCGTTGGGGTCCCTGGTGGCTCTGTCGTTGGAGCATCCGATTGAGGGGTCAGAGTCACTGGCACGTGAGTTGGTGGGGCTGCAGTGGCCGGAGGATCTGTTGCCGGTTCTGTCGAGGGCGCTTGTGTCACAGGAGAATCGGTAATAGGTAGTTTGGTAGGTGGAATAGGTGTTGTTGGTGGATCCGTTGGCGGAGTTGAAGTTGCTGGAGGGTCTGTTGGCGGAGTTGGAGTTGCTGGAGGGTCTGTTGGCGGAGTTGAAGGTGCTGGAGGGTCTGTTGGCGGAGTTAGAGTTGCTGGAGGGACTGTTGGCGGAGTTAGAGTTGCTGGAGGGTTTGTTGGAGGAGTTGGAGTTGCTGGAGCGTCTGTTGGCGGAGTTGGAGTTGCTGGAGGGTTTGTTGGAGGAGTTGGAGTTGCTGGAGGGTCTGTCTCCACTGGAGGCTGCGTTGGGGGTGCTTGAGTGAGTAGAGGGTCAGAGATAGGTGGGTCTGTTGGCGGAGTTGGTGTAGCAGATGGAGTATATGTTGAAAATGGAGGCTCAGTGCTACTTGGTTGTGTTGGTGGAATTGGAGGCTGTGTTGTTGGATCTGGGATCGGTGTATCGGTCGGTGGAGAGGGTGTGACTGGGGAGCCGGTGGGTGGAATTGTTGGGACGTCTGTCGGCGCATCAGTTATGGGAGGCGCCAATGTTGTTGGGGGCTCAGGTGTTGATGTGGCTGGGTCGAAGGTTGTTGCAGGAACAGCAGTGGTGCTTGGTGGCTCCGGTACAGGGGTTGGCGTGAATGGAGGTTCAGTCAGTGATGTCGTCACGGGCACATCTGTAGGTGGTTCCAAAGTCATTGGTAGGTCGGTCGTGCTTGGTGCTATGGTTGTTGGCTCGCTCGTTGGCTCGGGTGTTACAGGGACGTTCGTGATCATCCCTTCCCTGGTCGTGTAACACCCGCCGTCAACGCAGCACATAGTTCGAATCTGCTGGCTCGCATCAAAGCTGGCTTCGTAGCACGTGTCGCCAAAGCATACCGGCACGTCCAACTGCATATTGTTGAATAAGCGGCAGCAGAGAGGGTTGACGCCACTCGTGTCAGTTCCCACGAATGCACAAGCGTCGTATTCGACGGGCGCAAAATCAGGAGGTAAAGTCGGCGTGTCAAATTGGCCCACGACAGCGCCGATCCACAGCATCGAGGGTACCAAGCGTCCCTTCTTCATAATCTTCTTCTATGGCGTCTAACAGAGTTGTTGCATTGCATGATCGCCGCCGGCTGCGATCTCGCGCCCATCTCGCCGCGGAAGTTTCGGCGAAGCAACGAAACTGTAATTTTGAAATGTCCGGATAGACCGGATAAGCTCCTGACACTACGGATACTATCCGGAAAGAGCAACACCATTCATTTCCGCGATGTCCTTCCTGCGGTGAGCACGACGACTCGCCGATGCATGGCTGATGGAAGTGTGTGGATGTAGTGCTGCCTTTGCGTGTACGACGGGTCTGCTGTCCCGAGGCTCGACCTTTGCCTTTGCGCACCCGCCTCCCATGATGTCCATGCAAGTGCGAGACATGGGATACAAGCTGAAGACCAAGTCCGCCGTGAAGAAGCGCTTCTTCGTCAACGCGAACGGTCACATCAAACGTGGCCAAGCTGGCAAGCGACACTTGGCCACAGACAAGAGTCGCCAGCGCATTCGACGACTGGGACAAGCTGCTACCGTCACGGGTCAAATCAAGAAGAACATCCTCGCCATGTTGCACAATTAACGAGCTTTGCCGATGTCTACACTAGTACCATCATCATCGCGAGGCCAACCACAACTAGGCTTGCGACTACGTTTTGATTGAAAGCCATGTTGGACAATGTGGCAGCTGTCTCGCTGCTTTCGCCCTTCACGTGTCCTTCGGTGGTAGTTGGTGTGGAAGATTGTTGTCCTTCGACGAGGGATATTTCCTTCGTTGTTGGAGCGTCGCTCACATTGGTGCTTTCGATTCCATTCGACGAGATCTGTGGTGTCGGTCGTGGCGCTGAAGAGGACGTCGGTGGTGCTTGGATGGACGTGGATGCGTGCGAGATTGAGGGAGTCTCTGTGCTGAGCTTGGAGACGGCTTGCGACGGAAGTGGCAGGTCACGAGTCGTTGAGGGAATTGGAGCTTCCTTGGTAGCCGAAGGGGGCACGAACTTCGTAGTCGAAGGAGATCCGGCAGGCGGCGGGGACGACGTCGTCGGTGGCGGCGCCAACGCATAGTCGACAGTTGTGTACTTGGCGCCGCCGGCCAGCGGACACGTCCATCGCTTCAACGTTGTGTCGGATTCCTCAAACTCGAGAATGCAATCGGTCAAACAAACGGATGGTTCGACGAATGTCCCGCCTCGTTGGTGACAGCACAGCGACAGCACAGGAGCGCCGTCACTCATGCGAACATAGGCACACAAGGACAAGTCGGGCACGACATAGGCCTGGTGCGTCGGAATCGAGTCGAACTGGCCGTCGATGCCGGGCGCGGCGGCAACGAGAAGGCCGACGACTGCAACGATTCCCATCACCATCTTGACCCGCGGCGTGATAACACACTGTTGGAATGGCCGTTGGATGCAGCAGCGCATGACGCGTATGTAATCGCGTCTCCGGCATCTCCTGATCTGTCGCGGTTACGTCGTGATATATTGTGGTCGCAAATGGTTGCTGCTCAAGAGCACATGCAAGCTGGAAACGCCGCGACCACCTGCGATGATACGCTCGTGAGCACGGCACAAGACTCGGATGTTTGCCCGTGAATTCGATCTTGCCATGGCCCCTCGTTCGGAATCGAACGGTTGGAACGAGCACGAACGGCAGGGCATCCGCTTGTGCGATGCCAAGTCGACAAAGTGCTTGGTGCAAAGGAGACGGCGACGACGGACGAGATCGTGGAGTATATTCAACGGGATGCGATGCCGACTAGTTTGGATTGATCAAGTCGGCCATGCGCTCTGTGAGCGCCGTGTGGAATTTGTGGTACTCAAAAATGTCGCCCTTGCCCCGGCGGATCTCGACGAGGTGGAGGGATTCCGCCAGAACATAAATCTGCACGGTGCACCCCACGGCGCCCTTGGGCGTCGTCAGCGTCGCCTTGAGCTTAAAATTGGACGTGTCGGCGGTCACGTCGCATCTACCGTTCGACGTCGATCATCGGCCTGGCGGGCAAACACAAAAACACAACCGGCCGTACCCTGGAATCGCCTTCATGTGCTCAGACACAGTCGACAGGATCGTCGACGCACTCAACGACGACGTGAACTGACTGCTTCGCTTCACGCGCTTGTCGTCCACGGATTGGAACATGCGGTTGAGCGCCATCCCGCCGCACATGTTGATCAGGTCGAATGCGTTCATGACTTTGGGCCCGGTCTCCTTGGCTTTCGACTTGGTGATTTCCAGGTCCCCAATATGTTCTTGAATCGCCGCGTCCAAGTCGGCTTGGCTCGGCTTGAGCTTAAACTTTTCCAACGTCGTCTTGGTTTTCAACGGCGCGGACGCAACGTCGTCGTCATCTTCGTCGCCGTCACCGGACGAACCGACCACCATTGGGGGCAACGGGTCTAGAAACAACACACTCGATCAACGCCTATGAACGATCAGATGATGCGCATGCCGTACTGCCACGGATTGGCGCCGACTCGAGCTTGTTCGTGTCGTCGAGGTACCATTCATCCTGCTGGATGTCGGCCAAGGCGGCTCGAGTTTCCGGATCGGGGACCTGCACACAGATGGTGAGTAGCATGATTTGATGGCGAGGAATCGCAATGACACGCAAGATGGTCCGACAAGTCACAAACATGCACAAAATCGAAGCGTAGTCAGTCCATAGGGCATCTAAATCAACCCGCCATGATGCGGGGGAACTTTGGCAAGTCCATCCACGAACAGGTCGTTTAACAGGAGGAGATGGAGTACCAGGATCTTGTTGAGCAGGGTCTTGACGCGAGGCGTAAACCACGACGGGTACGAAAACTCGGCCTTTTGGATTTTTCGAAACAGTGCCGACATGGTGGGTTCGTCGAACGGGAGAAAGCCGGCGAGGAGCACGTAGAGAATGACGCCGATGGACCAGACATCGGCGGCGCGACCGTCGTAGCTAATGGCATGATGAGGGCGTGGTGCGGCCAATCGAAGGAAATCAGGATGCTACCCCTTGTCGGCGAGCACCTCGGGGGCGACGTAGTTGGGGGTGCCGCACGTTGTGTGCAGTAAACTCGCACGGGATCCGTCAGCGCCATCCGGTCCACCACCTTCGTAGAGCGCGCTGAGCCCAAAATCTGAAATCTTCAGGTCGCCATTCTCGTCCAAGAGCAAGTTTTCTACCACAACGCAAGAGATATCCTTCCAGACGTGGTGGAACAGGTGCATACCAGGTTTCAAGTCGCGATGGCACACTCCTTGGGAATGACAGTACTCTACGCCATTGACAAGCTGGCGAAAGTAGAAGCGCGCCGTTTCTTCATTGAAGCGTCCTTCGCTCACGATTTTGTCGAAGAGTTCGCCGCCCGTGATCAGTTCAAGCACGATAAAAATCTTGGTGCGACTCGCGAGCACTTCTTTCAGTACAACGACGTGGCGATTGCGCACCATCTTCATGATTGAGATCTCTTTCTTGATCTGCGCACCCATGTTTTGTTTTTGGATCTTGTCCTTGTCCAGGACTTTGATGGCCACGCGCTCGTCGGTCTCTGTGTTGACGGCATACTTGACCCTAACACCACGCACACACACGCGCGCGCGCGTCGGACCCCGTTCACTTCCTCACAATACACGCTATCATGGATACATAGACATACTTGCCAAAGGTCCCTTCGCCCAGCGTCTTGCCGATCTCGTACTTGCCGACCTTCTTCACCATCGCGTCGGGCTTGGCCGTTATCCAAATCTGTCGAAGCCGCTCCCTGTCATCCGCATAAGGCCTTTCGAATTTTATCCGGATACTCCACATTGGAGTTAAGTTTGCCGATTCCATGATGTTTCGAGCGGCGGTGCCGTCAGCGGCATCACGGGCGATGGCTTTGCGGCGGCCGCTTGCAAGAGCTATCCACCAGAAGAAAAACTACGAGGAACTCAAGGCGGACTTCATGCGTTGGGCGCGCAAGGAAGTTGTTTTGGTAGGGCTGTTCTTGGCCACAGGAGTTGGCGCCGTTGCAGCGTATGCGTACCGCTCGGATGCTCCGGTGCAACAAATTGTGTACACTATCAACCAAGCGACTGTCGCCGCGGAAAATGGAAAGACCATGGAAGCACGGCAGCTGACGCAACGTGCGTATGCGATTGCGCAGTCCGTCAGTCCCCAAGGTAGGGTTTATGTCGACCTTGTCGCACGGATCATCATAGGTGCATTGCATAGAACGGCATTTGCATGAACTCGCCTTCTCGATCGCTGCGCAATACGAAGCTGCCGAGCAGTACCATTTGGCGAAGAAGTACTACCTCGATGTACACTTACTTGACGCGGCGTACGCGGCATGTGACGCATGTGGTAGTCGCTGGAACACATACCTTTTATCAAGAACGCCGCCGACATGGCCGACTTGACTCGCATGATCACACTCGATCGCATCGCTCAATGCTGTCATAACTTGTACGTGCCCACCATCTTCAACACGTTGTGATGTTTGCGATGGGGGCAGGTCGGACGCCGCAAGTGCCATTCGGTACTACGAAAAGGCGCTGGACCTTCATGTCCAGCATAAGATGGACGTGTGTACCGCCATGGACGTGGAAGGGTGCGGCATTTGGTTCAATTATGGTATATCCCGTCGCTTGGCTATTTCCACCGTTGTCGTTTAACACGTGCATCGTTAGCACGCCTCTATTTAGATCTGGACCAGCCGGGGAAAGCGATTGCATTGCTCGACATGTCCAAGCGAATTGCACTCAAGTGCGGGTTGCCCCAAGACAAAATTCAGCTCGTCGACGAGCAGTTGGCTCTTGCAAGAGGCCGGCTTTTCCAACTCCACCAAAGTAGTTGAAGAGGTGTAGCGCATCGGTGTGTACATGTTGTCTACACGCCACGTTTGGTCGCTCTCCACGCATGTATACACTTTCAAAAACAGCATAATCTGCGGTGAAAATATTATCTTTTGAGCGTTATTCAAGCAATTGACCATTGCATTAGGTGACTCTCCTCGTCAAGTCGAAAATAAACATGAGCCAGACTTCACAATCGATTTTGTTAACTGTCGTGATCGACTTCGCTCGAGACTTATTCCATCTTCATGGGCGGGAGCTGCAACTGCTGGACAAGGGATGCAATCGCGCGTTCGAGGGCGTCGATGCGGTCATGCAATCGCTCCACAGACTTATCATCTTTGGGCTTGGACTTGTCCAAGTCGGCGCCAGCCTAGAGAAATCGCGCCCCCAACGACATGGTTATGGCCGGATGCGATCTTGGACGCGAGGAAACTCACCACGGAGAGGACTTTCATGTTGTGGATGAGGCCCTTGGCCTCGTCCTTGCCGATGTGCAAATGTTCGGACAACGTGTTGGAGTTGAAGCGCTGGAGGTTGCCGTCGCGCACGCTCTGCCGGAACCGCTTGGGCGCGTCGTGGTGCCAAAAGTGCTCGACGCCGATCAATTCCTTGGCGATGATCGAAAACTCTTCCGTCACGCTGCGCGTCGGGCCTGCCTTCTCCTCTCGCACCGTGTCGAAAGCGGCGAGCACGATCGCAAGGAGCATGTTGAACAGGACGAGGAAGAGAACGATCATGGCACACCAGTACCACACCAGGGCGACGTGGTAGTCGACGTCGAAGATCGCCGCCAGATCAAACTGGCCAAACAGCATGTCGACCACCGTCACCGTCGCGTGGCCGATGGTGCTGAATGCGAGGAGCTTCTCCCCGAAGAGGAGGCACCCCGACACGACAAAAGCAGCGAGGCACACGACAAAGACAAAGAAGAACGGACCGAGAGAGTGCAGCGACGCGCCAAGCGTCGCCGTCACCATGTTCAACCGGGGATGGAATCGAAATGACCCCAAGATGCTGCCACGACAGGTTGAAAATCCAAACCAAAGCGTCGAGTTTGACGTACCGAATCGTGAGCAGAAACAGCGCCACCATCGCCGCCAGGCGAATCGCGACCATGAGGTCTCCCATCGACCGATACCGTTCCATGACGTGCGTCAAGAGCATCTTGCCTTCGTCCGTCGACTCTTGGGCCTTGGAAAAGTCAATTGTCCCAGACACTTCGAGCGCCGTGAGCTGGCTCGACAGAGTTGTGTCGTAGATGCCGTCGCACACGATGGCCCAGAACACGTAATACGCTAACACGGCAGCGAGCGCGCCCCACTCGACGACGCGCCAGATGCCCCAGTACGCTGCTGTCGCGATGCTCCTGCGGTGGAGCCAGAGCTGTCGGACCTCAATCCCGAGTGTCGCCACGAAGAAAATCCCCACGACAATGTCGAGCGCCAGGACGGACTTGGTGTGATGGTATGGATCTACCGCCACGTGAGTTGTGCGCGACAGTCCAGACGAAATCACGTACCGGCCGGAATCGACGCCATCTTGTACTTGGTTGCGACGAAGCCACCGATCTGGAATTCGACCTGGAGGGTCGTGATGCACATGAGGTCGACTTCGCCGTTGTAGGTCGCAATGTTGATGACGAGGGAAGTCGTGGCCGGTGTGATCCACGTGCCGGACGCTTGTTTTTCAACGATGGTCGCGATTGCCGTCGCCGCGTCCGCGTTCGAGTCGATGTAGATTGGGACGTTGATCGTGGGGTTATCGTAGTCGTGGCACGGTTTGTAGATGACCCCGAGCGGCCCCTCGAGCCCGCAGTCGGTCTCTTCCGCCGACGTCGTCGTGATTTCAACCGCTCCCAACAGCTTGTGCACTTCGACGATCCGGCTATGGCGGTCGCTCGTCAAGTTGTTCCCGTTGTAGTCGGTCGTGACAAACAGAGCTGGGAACAGTGTCTTGGTCAGCCACGGAAACACATCCGCTCGCGTTTGAATGTTCTTGAACTTCATGGTTGTGTCGGCTGTCAGCGCGTCCTAGAGCTCCATGAGTTCCTCGATCAGCAAGTTGCACGAACCGTGCCAGTGGACACGAGCGTCGTCGCGAGGCCGTTTTCCGTTGGAAACATGACCTCGACGGGAACGTGGGTGAGGGCGGTCGCGGCAAACACGAGGAAGAATGCGATGGGAAACGGCAGGTACAGGAAGTGGTAGCGCAGGTTCTTGCGCGCCTTGACGGCGTACAGCGCCTCTTGGTACGACAACGTGATCTCGTCGTTCTCTTTCAGCGCGGACAGCGCCTTGGCAGTGCCAAGACCACCTCTGGCCTCGACAGTCGCCGCTGGCGTCTCCCCCTTTGCCGCCAGCATGTCAAGCGCTGAATTCGCCAATGTGGCCAGCCCCTGGTCAGGCACGGTCGGTATTTTTAGCGCAGGATTTGGATATGCCGACACACTCCAAAATGGCGGCATCGTCGATCGGGTCAGGTTTCTCGATCGCAACATAAAGCGGCAACCGCCAAGCGTTGTTGGATTTTCAAAACGTTTACGAGTGCCCCGTTCTACTTACGCCAAGTCGCCGCTGATCATATTCACGCACTGCCACTGATGCTTGTAGTCTTTCTGCCACATGCGCACTGTGCCGTCGTCGCCGGTCGACGCGAGCATGGTTCCAGTCACGTTCCACTGCACTCGCCACACCTCGAACGCTCCTGGTCGAAGTGTCTGTGAGCCCGCTCACGTGAAAATGGCAAGGTGGACCAAATCTACCGTGATCTTTGGACGTCACTTGGACGATTTCGCTCTGCTCCTGGCGATTTGGGTTCACCTTGAGCTTCCAAATGCGAATTGTACGGTCCTTGCTCGCCGTGGCGAGCCAATGACACGATCTACCCCACCACGTTGAGCAGTGACTCGATCGAGAGCAACGGTACCGGCCGAGATTAGGCGCCCATGCCACGTCATGGATGACGTCTGCATGGCCCGAGAGCTCAGCAATGACATGCCACTGCTTCTCGACGGTGAAGCCCCACACTTTGGCCGTCTTGGAATTGCCGCCAACAAGCACCATGGGGATGTCAAACCGACTGGAATTCCACGACAGACACGTGGCGCCTTCCGGGTCCGCCAAAAAGTTCTCCTACGCCATGGCAGCCATAATAACGTGCATGCTAACGGATAAGCAATGTACAGGTAGAGTCCATTCGGACAAGTTCATCGGATTTGCCGCTTCGTACATGCGAATGTAGCCATCGGCCGAGGCGGTGGCCTACAGGATGAATAGGTAGGTCACGATGGATGGCTTCGTAGGGGACGACCAGATACCAAGCGAAGACCCAAGTGGCGCGGTGCAAACTTGACGTCATGGACGGATTCGCGTGAGTCGGTGAGTTGCGCCTGCAAAGTCCATGGCTGCGACTGCGACGGACCTACGTCGACGTTTTGCATGGGACGGCAGGAGGAAGAGAGACATACCCATCTCTGAGTGAAGCTGAGTAAGAGATGTCGAGCCATGCGCGAGGGGCGGGGCAATTGACGGAGGTTTCGATAGCGATTCTTCCCACACGATGACAGTGCGGTCGAACGAGCACGATGCAACAATCTGGCCAAACTCTGGATGGCCCCAGGAGACTTTCCACACACTGGCTTGGTGAGCCGTCCATTCGTACTGCAGCTGCCACTGCCCATCGATGATCTCCCAAATCTACTTCATCGTCACCTTTAACACCGACCGAATGAATCAAGGAAGGACCTTAATTTTACGGTCTGACGAGCAAGTCGCGAGCCGCTTGCCATAAAAGTCGAAGCTCATGTCGTGAATGAAGTCACCATGCTGTGACGAAAAGCTTTGGAAGGCTTTCTAGGTGCAGACAGACAAAGGCCATGAGGAACCTGCCGACGACGGCCGCGGTGGACGACCGCGCTGGTGCTCACCATCTCGTTCATGTTGGCAAAATGGGGCAATTTGCAAAAACAACTGTGATTGGATGAAAAATATTGTCCCAGTTTCAAGTATTAAAAAAAAAACTCGTCAAGTTAGTACCTACATTTTAAATTGATTTTCATTAAATATTCGAAATGACACTCTGAATTTTAAATTCCACACAGTTTCAACTGTGTGGCATTTGGATTTTCGTCAAAATGGCCGGCCGGCGCATCCTCGAGGAAACCGAGGTCTACGAGACGCCCGAGGTGGAAGTGTATCCAAGTGGAGGGTGCTCTCATCATCCGTACGCCAATATTGATGAAGCTTCTAGTACCTCCGACATGAACGAGATTGACCGCGCGCCGCTCCGTCCAGCTGATGCGTTTCACGCGTTTCTTGGGGCATCGGTCCCCTCCAACTCGGGAGAATTGAAGGTCGTCCCGAGAGGCGAGTTGGAGACTCCAACGATGCGGTACCATCGACTGCAGCAGGAAATGAGCGAGCTCGAGGCAGATCTGGAATTGCTTCATCAATTGTCCAAGGAGTCCGTGGATCCTCCAACGTACCGCACAATGTTGCAAGGACTCAAGACTCTCCAAGCAAACTTGAGCCAGCTACAGATCGATCCGTCTGCCTCTGCGCAACATTGTGCTCATGCGGCAGTCCAAGCGCAGCAGCATCTCTCGACGCAGCTGTGGAAAGACATCCAAGAGTTTCGCCAGCAGCATCCCGCGACCCCTTCGTCTGACAGTACCACCGCCGGCCTCGTTGTACGTGTTCTTGGTTGCCTCTCTGCATCTCGACCAACTACTTTGGGTAGTACGAAGTGTATGCCGTTCACGAAGAAGACCAGAACGCGAGCTTGAAACTGGCGGCAGTCGAACAACGCGTCGCTCAATTGGAACGCCTCGTGGGACCCGCCGCAACGTCCAAGTCAGGCCCAGAAGACGTTGCAACACTGCTGCACAACGTGCAAGAGGTGCGTGTGTGCCATGTCTGTGCGTGGGAAGTCGTCTTACGCTCGGTAGTTGGAAAAACGAGTGTCGTTGTTGAATCCGGCCCAACTCGCCACCATATCGTCGCGAGTGGCGACGCTCTTGAACCAGTTCACGTCCATCGCCAAGTTGCAAGACTCGAATCCTGTGGTCCAGCACGCCATCTCGTCCGCGCAGGAATCGACGCAACTCGATGCCATTTACAATCAACTCCAGGTACAATATCGCATCCCCACACATTGTCGGAACGTGTCGCAACGAGTGGGGTAGTCGGTCGGCGCGACGGCGGCAGGAATTCCTGCCTTGGTGGACAGAATCACTAGTGTCAAAGCTCTTCACGACGACGCTGCTACATTCAGGTACACTTTGCATGCGTCGACGTGTGTAAATACCGCGCGTTAGCGACCGCATTGCCGCCCTGGAACGCCACACGACGCAGCTCCAAGCCATCCTGGCTGCTGACACCACACTCCTTCAAAGCGTACGATCTTGCTGCTTCGGCGCTTGTATTTCATCCTGGTGGGTTTGATCTAGGTGGAGGCGAATCTGGCGCGAAACCTGAGTGTATTTCAGTCGAATTTGGAGCAACTCGACGGCCGACTGCAAAAGCTTTCGCCGCCATAATGCACGCACAGTCGAATGTACCTTTGCCTTTCTGTATATTGATCCTTAAAGCTGCGCCTTCCACTGGCTCAGCGCCGCGGGGCCGCCATCCCGTGCGTCCAAGTAGTCGTTCAGCGCTTCTCGAAAGTCCTGGATGCTTGCCACACCCTTGGGCGTGTAGTCTGTTCGCAGCGTCGCACGGACGTACACTTGCTCGGCATCGTCCGCTGGCAGCGTGTCGTAGCCCATTTTGTTGAACAAGTTGGTCAGGAACTGCTTGGGCCGTGGTGTGATGAACTCGGCATCGCCGACGCCAAGGGCCGAGTACTGATTCGGGTACAGCAGCTCGTGGGCATTCACATCGTCGCCGTAATTCTACGCAAAGATGACCTTTCGTTCCTGGCCACCCATATCGAAAAGGCGACGGACCTGAGCATCCGCTATCGACCTCTTGGCGGGCGGGGTCACGTCCGATCGAATGCTTGGCACGCCAAACGACCGCTGTTCGTCGGAAGCATTCATCCAACCGCGGTTGACTGGCTTTCCCAGGTCGGCATCTGGCTGCTGCTCCTCGAATGAGTACGTTCCGTGGATGCTCACGGCCGCGTCCGGCCCGCCTCTCGCCGGTTTGAGCCCAAACACATGGTCCGGGCTCGTCGCGCGGTTGAAGCCCAGGTTGCGCGGCTTCCCCAGCATGTCCATCGTGTTCTTCATATCCTCGACGTTCTTTTGAGCGATGACGACTTTGCTTACGTGGTCGTCCATTTCGGGATTGAGAATAGCGTCGACGCCGCCTTCGTCCTTGCGCTTGTGGGCGCCAAACCTCATTTTGTGCAGGTCTGCCGGCACGTTCAAGTACTGCCGATTCTTCTGTTCCCCAGGCTCGCTGCTGCCATGACTGCGTTTGTACAGCGCCCTAGATTCGGCGGTCTCGTTGAACGGCATTGCGTACAAGACGTCCTTGGCTGAGTCGCTTTGCTCGGACGGGGTGCCAAACGTCGTGTTCGGGTCAAAATGGTGGCCGCGCGAGTACGTCGTACCCAACGGCTCGCGTTTCGAGCTCAAGTACAGCGCTTCAAGCTTTTGCTGGGTGATCAATGCATGTTCCGTCGGCATCTTGGAAGGCATGACATCCTGTTCGTTCGTCTGCTTAGCAGTTGTAACAACTGGAAACGATCTTACCCCGACGTGGTCGCTGTTCTTGGACGTGATGCCAAACTTGCGCGTGGCGTCGATGTGCTTCACGTCATTGATCAAGCCAGGGTGGACGATACGCGTGCCTGGCTCGGCGAAGTATGACTTGCGGAACTTCCGCACCGATTCTGGAGTGCCTGGTCGCGCGGCAAAGTTCAAGCACGCCGCGGACGTGTCGTTTGGCGACGGGGTCTGTTTCAGGCCCGCGTTCTACGTTGGGCATCCCTCCAGCATAAGGAAACCTATCTGGGCAGCAAATTCGAGGCAGGACGGAGCTTACCGCAGGAAGCGGCTGCCGGCGAGCGCTCATGACGGCAGCGCCAATTCTAAATTTACCAGTTACTGTATACGGGGAGTTTCAGCAATATCCGGATGAGATGTTGGACTTTATCCGGATTCGAGCCATTGCGACACTTGGCACACATGACGGTGGCGTGGGGCGAGCTGGACGCGCTGGTCGATGAGATTCTACGGCAGGCGGTCTTGGCCAAGGCTGCATCATCGGCGTTCCAGGGCAGATCAAGCGACAGCATGCGTCGAGGAGGCGCGAGGGTGAAGTCACTTGTCGAAGCGCTCAATGCATGCAATGCGTCAATTCAACAAGCGCTCGACTGGACGGACAATGCCACATGCAGCGGTGGTCTGCTACTGCAATCGGAAGAAGATGACCTCGTTGTGCTCGAACAGGACGTCGAACAACAAACGAACGTCCCTGCCCAAGTGAACAAGTCGTCACCGCTTGAACAGGGAGTGATGCCGCGTCGACTCGTCCGAGCAAATGCGGGCGTGTACGAGACAGACGACATGTCGCCCCCCACGACACCGCACGCATCTTCGCCCAAACGCAATGCATTCCCACCTAAAGTATGGCCGATCCACTTGCTTCAGCATTCCACTGAACGAATGTGTTTGTGATCGCAGGTGGCGCTCGAGTCGGTCAACCACCTTCTATTTGTCATCCACGGGATCGGTCCGCATGCCGACTTCAAGGACGTTCACAGCGACTACTTTGCCGACATCCCTTCGGACCAGCAACGCCGTGGCAAGAGCCAACTGCTCAAGGAACTGTTCCGTTCCACTCGCGACACCTACCTCTCGGCGTTCGTCGACAATCCTGTATTCATGGCCACTCAAACTTGCATGTAGCGACATTCCCTTGGCTCTCGAGATCCAAACGATCGAATGGCATGACGTGCTGCACACGGCTGCCGTCGACACCGCCTTCGATCAGCTCGTCCCGGACGGCGCCAATGCGTACGTGCCATAACGACCATCTTTGTTGACAACACGATGCATGCCAGCCTTCGACACTTCAATAAGATGACGATCATGGACATGCTGTACTATGCGTCCCCGGCATACGGCCAGCTCGTTGTGGACTCGGTGACAGCCCAAATGAACTCCAAATACAAACGATTCCTTCACCACCACCCTGGCACGGACCCTCCTCTCCTCGACTGCCATTCCTCACGGCTGTCGAATGATGTAGGCTGGAATGGCCACGTATCGATCTTCGCCCATTCGCTAGGGTCTGTCATCGCCTACGACATTCTGTCCCATGATGCAGGTGCCTTGTCCGCGACGGGGGTACAGTTTCCGGGACTCGAGTTCCCCGTCGAGAACTTCTTCGCTGCGGGGTCCCCCGTTCCAGTCATGCTCTTGTCGCGAGGTCAAGTCGAGTTGACAGGAGATGCCGACACCCCTTTGCTTCACGTGCGGTCGCGGCCTCGGTGCGCCCACTATTTTAACTTTATCCATCCGTCGGACCCGATCGCGTATCGGATGGAGCCTCTCCTCTGCGAAGGAGGCGCCTCGACACCGGCGTCGCTCTCTGCGATCTTTGACCCCAAGATCGTTCATGGGATTTCGTTCAGCGATCTCTACTCTCGCTTCACGTCCACTACTCTCGCGACTTCCACTCAAGCCCCGACGTGCGTGGACTACTACCTCAAACATCAAACCCGCGACGGCACCAGCCGCATGATGGATGTTGCGTACGCCCCCGCGTCGCACAAGTCATACTGGATCTCGCAAGACGTGGTGCTGGCAGCCTTGTTGCAGCTCTGCCGCCCTGTCGGCGAGATTCTCCGGCGATACGACATAGCACAAGTCCCCCGCCCTGAGCTGCGTCCACGCCGGCGAGTGTCCTTCACGCCCCACAAGAGCGTCCTGCTCGCCACGACCGCCCTCGCTCGTGACCGCATCACAGGAACGTGGCACAATCGTGTCGTTCTTCTGGCCAACAAGCATGTGTACTCGGTGGCATCTGTCAAGGACTTGGCCGTGACCAAGTCGTGGGCCGTCCCCTTGGCATCCAACTCGACGACCGTCGTCCCTGTCGACAATGTCGGGTTCAAAGTAGCGACCAGCACGGATGCGAAAGGAACGGTCCTCCACGCACCGTCCAGAGACGACCGAGATGCGTGGGTCGATGCGATACGGGCGCGCATTGGCCACAAGACAAAAGCGGTCGTGAACTGCGACGGTCTCATCACGAACCAGTCGGTCGAGTATTTTGGGGCGGTGAAGACGAGCTTCCTGACGCAGGGGTGGTCGACAAAGTGGGTCGTCCTGACCAAGTCGCATTTGACCGCATACGAGTCCTGTCCCGCGGCCATCTCGTGGTGGCAGTTCTCCGTGACGACGGTCGTCGTGGCCCCGTCCGTCGGACGCTTTCGCTTGGTCAGTCCGGACGGCACCGCTTTCACGTTCAAGATTCAGGACAAACCCACGTTCGAAATGTGGCTCCAAGCGGTGCAGGAACGAAAGCACTGCCACCTGTCGATCGAACAGGACGAGTCGGTGCCTCGTGGTGCCGTCGTACCTTGAGTTGTCGAGACATGTCGTACGCCAGGCGACTGCTCCAGATGCTCCATGCGTTTGTAGATGTAGCCGTCATGCGACATGCATGTGGTTGTTTTTAAGGACGTGCCGCCAACCACGCGATAGTGCGCACTGGTGAAATCGTGCCGTCTTTCATCCATGCCACGGGGTGTCCTTCCTTTCCGACCCGATACAGTGCACACCTTCATGCTGAACCGTCACGATCGCGTCGGCACTGTCCACTCGACGACGTCGACGCGCTTGCTGAGCGGATGGCCAACCTAGCCAGGCCTGCCAAACATTCGGCGAGTGCGCCGACGCCACGGAACCCGTCACCCAGAGATGCCACCATTCGATCAGCGATGACGATGGCCACCGTGGCGCTGCAAGAATGCACAATCGTGGTTGAACGAGCTCTCATGCAAGAGAAGGTTTAGGATGCACGCGCTTTTTTTAGCGTACCCGATGCAAGCGCTGGATTGAGAAGGATGAGGAGCTGGGGTTCGAACATAATCACTGCCCACTTGGACCGGCGATGGGACATCCGTACCGAGCACTCTCGACGCCATGGCAGAGCTACGACCAAGACGATGCCAACGCACGACAAGGTGCAAACGATGCATTTCCCTCCACCGTATGCTCCAGTCGGTCTTAACTCGTCCTGTAGTTGCAGCCACTACCTGCAGCTGAAGCTGGCGCAAGTAGACAAACTCGTGCTCGTTGCCCACGGCAATGGCGACTATGACGAATTCACGCAAGGGCAACGGTGGGAGAGTTCCCAACTTTCAAAGCGCTCTTTCACTCGATCCAACCGCCGCATCTTGTTCAGCGTACGTCCACCGCCCGACCATCAACGTGTACAAGCTCTTCGCTGGGATATTCCGCTCCACTTGGACGTCTAATCGAGTGGCACGATGCGCGACAGGACTCGACAAAGTTTACACCTGATCGTGCCTCCTGGCGCTATCCGCATTCGCGACGTCAACCCATGGAACTACTTGGTGTCGTCGTATGGACAACAAATCGTGAATGCCGTGACGGCGGCGCAGCTCCACGACAAGTTCACGCGCATCGCTCCGTCTTCCCGACGTCTTTCGTGTCCATCTTTGGCCACTCGTTGGGCCAGTGTGGTCGCGACATCCTGACTCAAGCCAAAGGCGAAACATCGCGTTTCCCGGGCTGGAT